TGTCTCACATTCTGCTTCTCTTCTCACACCACCTTCTACCATTACTTGATTTCACTCTTTTTTTTAGCCCTCGTTTCCTCCTTCCCCCCATCACCTATTCCCTGGATGTTATTTTTGAACACCCCAACACTGATCTATAAACTCGGCCTGTCCATCACTTGGGCCACCCCTTTCACCTATACACACACTCCCCACCACCACCCCACACGCACCACAACCCCACACGCACCACACACACACCCCACACGCACCACACCACGCAAACCCCACACGCACACACACCACCCCACCACCCACACACACCACCACACGCACCACCACCACAAACACACCACCCCACCAAGCACCACACCACCCACACCACCCCACAGACACACACACCCGCACCACACCACCACACCAGCCCACACGCACCACACCACGCCCCACACCACCCCAAACACGCACCACCCACAGCACCACACCACACCACCCCACACCACCACCCCACCCCACACGCACACACCACCCCACCCACGCACCACACCACGCCACCACACACCACACCCACACGCAGCACACCACACCCACCCACAAACACCACCGCACACACACCACACCAGCCCACACGCACCACACACGCACCACACCACCCACACGCACCACCCCACACGCACCAACACACACCACCCACACGCACAACACCACCCACACGAACCACACCACACCACACACCACACACCACCCACCACACACACCACACACACAAACCCCCCACACCACACACGCACCACCCCACACCACCCCACACGCACCACAACCCCACACGCACCACAACCACACCGCACCACACCACACGGACCACCCCACACGCACCCACAACCACCCCCCACACGCACAACCCCACAAGCACCCACACCACCCCACACGCACACCCCACAACGCACACCAACCACCCCAAACCGCACCACCCCACACGCACCACACCACACCACCCCACACGCACCCACACCACACCACACCACACCACCCCACACCGACCACACACACGGACCACCCCACACGCACCACACCACCCCACCACGCACCACACCACACGCACCACCCCACACGCACCACACCACCCCACACGCACCACCCCCAGACGCACCACCCACACCACCCCACACCTCACCACCCCACACTCACCACCCCACACTCACCACACCAATCCACCACACACTCACCACACCACACCCCACACTCACCACACCACACTCACCACCCCACACACCACCCCACACTCACCTCACCACACCACACACTCACCACACCACACAGTTTAACCAGTAGTTTTGAAATGAGGGAGCAGACATGAAAACTTCTGTCTTACTCATTAAACTCTGGTTCAACTTGTTACAAAACCCACTCTGGTCCAATCCGAAGGTCACGTCTGTCAAAGAAAGAAAGAAAAATATTATCTGACTATTCTATGGGGATAGTACACGCACGCACGCTCGCACGCACGCACACACACACACACACACACACACGCACACGCACACGCACACGCACACACACACACACACACACACACACACACACACACACACACACACACACACACACACACACAGCTGTTCTTCTGACCAATAAAGGGTTGTTTCTCAATTCAGCAGTCAACTACTTTTCAATCTGTGACACTGTAGTTGAAATGAATTGCCTTAGATGGAAAACACTAACTGTAGTTATTTTTCTCAGATTTTTATTAATATAATTTTGTATCATATTTACAACACAGCACAGCTGTTTTTGACAAACAAACAAAAAAACACACGCTTGCATTACATGCCAGGAGATTAGTTTCATGTTTAGTAAATGCAGATCGGTACAACATGGGTGCCCTATTCCCTATAAAGTGCACTACTTTAGACCAGGACTCATAGGGCTCTAGTCAAAAGTAGTGCACTATAAAGGGAACATGGTGCCATTTGGGACGCAAACAAACATCACATGTTGTGTGCATTGAGGTCCCAATTCTGCAAGTCCCTATTTCATAAATTCTCTATCCCAAACAGTTGAGTCTCCATAGTTTAAGACATGATGGGAAAAATCACAGTTTTTTTTTTTTTTGCTCTAAAATGTCTGTTTGAAGGCTACAGATTATGATGAGCGATTAGCATCGTATCAGTTTACAAAAGCAGAAACATGTTATAGTCTTTCCAGTAATTGCATAGTCAACATGCACACAGCCATACACACGTCTCCCACTGACACGCAGAAAACTACATTTGCTGCAAGCCACGTAAGTATCTCCCACTTCTGAGTGTGCTTCCCAAATGACACCCTATTCCCTATATAGTGCACTACTTTTGACAAGGGTTTATAGGGCCTCTGGTCAAAAGTAGTGCACTATATAGGGAATAGGGTGTCATTTGGGACACAGCCTGAGTCTCTGTATGCTTAACCACAAGGAGGTTTTTGTTGGCTAACTTTCTTTGTTTGACCAAAATTTCCACAGACACACACACACACACACACACACACACACACACACATCCCATGTCCTCTTGGTTAGCTTTGCCTGCCACCATGGTCTGTGTCTTCCCTGAACAACATGTCCCAAGATGCAACAGGAGAAGATCGAGATCAAGCCACCACTTTTTCAATCTCCTGGGTCGTGTTCAAAATTGAGTTTCTTATGGGACAAGTCCAGGTTGTCCTCACTGTTTCAGTCCGTTTTCTTTCATTTGGCGCCTAATGAATACAACCCTCCAGTCCTGTTAAGGGGCTTAAATGTCTCCAAGATTGTCATAGATGATATCAGGGGATCGCAGGCCGGTATGGGGGTACCAGGGAATGGGAGGGGGCTTGTGCCTCGACACCTTACTGTACAGCTGTGTGTGCCTCCCTTCCCCTCCTCCTTCCCCACCTACACCCCCGGCCCTGTCTCCCCCCCCTCCACCAACTACACCCCCGGCCCTGTCTCCCCCCCCTCCTCCACCAACTACACCCCCAGCCCCTCCTCCAATCCCAAAGCCTCCGCTACTGTTATTATTGTTCAGGTTAGTTGGACCTCCAGGCCCAGCCTTCCCCAGGGGCAGAGGCACGGGATCCTTCCGAGGAAGAGCAGCCTTTTTGGGCTTGGGGGTGGTAACAGGCTTGGGTGGCCATTTGGAGCCCCCTGGTCCTCTGATGACGAGGGGAGGCTGTGATTGTTTTCCGTAGGAGGGGACTGCGTAGCTGTCCGTAGCCAGGTTGTAGAGCCCGTCGTGGGGCTGAGGAGGAGGGCTGTCTATTCCCATTCCCGAAACACCACCTCCTGCTCGGCCCTCTGGTTCATCATAGATGTGTTCGGTGTCGGTGAGTGACGATGACGATGCTTTTTCCGCCTGTCCCCCGAGCGAACGCATGTTACCGCCTCCCCCTCCTCCTCCTCTCCCTCCTCTTCGTCCTCCTTCCTCCAGCCCCATAACACCCATCTTCTGTATCAGATCCAAACCGATCTGATCATAGAGGTCTGAATAGAGGGGATCAGGCTGGTTGTTGCTATGGTTTCGACCTCCCTCGTCACCGAGGGGTCGGAGTCGGGGGGTGGGGATGGGAAGGTTTGGGGGGTTGGGGGTCAGTGTCTTGATAGTATCAACAGGGTCAGAGTAGAGACAGTCACCGGCAGAGAGAGAGGAGACGCGGACAGAGTCAGCGGGTTCAGAGTACACACTACCCTGTTCCTCTTGAGACGGGGGCGCTCCTACTCCTTTACCTAAGACGACAAATACTTTATTAATCAATATTAAATTGGTTTGTCAGTCGTCAGCATGCACACATAGTCACGAAAAAAGACAACAATCAAAGTACTTAAAACAAGATAGCAAAAACATCAAATGTTTACAATCCAAATACAATAATCAGATCACAGCTTCCTCCTCCTAATTATAATTATAATAATACATCTAATTTTAGGCGCTTTTCAAAACCCCCAAAGTCACATTAAAATGAGTATGATTCTAAAAGTACACTAAACATGATGAGACGAACCTCCTCGAGTCATGGGCGAGCGTGGGGGCGTCCCGCCCACTCCTATCACCAACGGCGGTGGCTCTGGTAAACTCCTCCCTTTTTGGTTCTGATTTTGGCTCTTCCCTCCATCTCCCTCCCTCCTCCCGAACACTCCGTCGGCTGATCCAGGCTTACTCCCTCCGGAACTGGAATCCCCATCCAGATCCCGGTTACTGCTGTTGCTGTCGACTACCAAGCCACCGCCCGTTGCCACGGCGTTGCGTTGCTGCATGAGGGCAGGGCTAGGGTCGTATTCGAGGCTGCTTAAATGGTAGCTGAGATTGCACTCCTCGGCCAGGGCTTTCTGTGATTGGATGGCCTGCTCCACTATGAGGAAGATCTCGTTACCCTGTTTGGTCTCGAAGTTGAAGTTCCCCGGACCAGACTCACAGCGCCGCCCCGCCTCGAACGAAAACATCACCTGAAAACAAAAAAACAAAACAATGTTATACAACATAATCTACATTCTAGAGGTCAGAAAGGAGGGACAAACAAGCTTTCGTTTTATTTTGAAGATAATGTATAACGCCTCAGTGTTATTGTCTCTACTCTGTGGACTTGTATTTTGAAAGTGATATGATTCATTAGACATCAGACAATATAAACAAAACATCAGCCTGGGTCATCCCCATGACAACAACCCCCAGCTCCTAAAAAGCATCTCTCAAGCCACTGACTGAAAAGAAAGCAGGTCATTGTCATGGTTATGTAGTAAAACCCACAGGTAGTGGTATTAGTAATAACCCCAGGTAGTGGTAATAGTAATAACCCCAGGTAGTGGTAATAGTAATAACCCCAGGTAGTGGTAATAGTAATAACCCCAGGTAGTGGTAATAGTAATAACCCCAGGTAGTGGTATTAGGAATAACCCAAGGTAGTGGTAACAGTAATAACCCCAGGTAGTGGTAACAGTAATAACCCCAGGTAGTGGTAATAGTAATAACCCCAGGTAGTGGCAATAGTAATAACCCCAGGTAGTGGTAATAGTAATAACCCCAGGTAGTGGTAACAGCAATAAACCCCCAGGTAGTGGTAACCAGTAATAACCCAAGGTAGTGGTAATAGTTAATAACCCCAGGTAAGTGGTAATATTAATAACCCCAGGTAGTGGTAATAGTAATAACCCCAGGTAGTGGTATTAGTAATAAAACCCCAGGTAGTGGTATAGTAATAACCCCAGGTAGTGGTAATAGTAATAACCCCAGGTAGTGGTAATAGTAATAACCCCAGGTAGTGGTAATAGTAATAACCCCAGGTAGTGGTATTAGTAATAACCCCAGGTAGTGGTATTAGTAATAACCCCAGGTAGTGGTAATAGTAATAACCCCAGGTAGTGGTAATAGTAATAACCCCAGGTGGTGGTAATAGGAATAACCCCAGGTAGTGGTATTAGGAATAACCCCAGGTAGTGGTATTAGTAATAACCCCAGGTAGTGGTAACAGTAATAACCCCAGGTGGTGGTATTAGTAATAACCCCAGGTGGTGGTAACAGTAATAACCCCAGGTAGTGGTAACAGTAATAACCCCAGGTAGTGGTAATAGTAATAACCCCAGGTAGTTGTATTAGTAATAACCCCAGGTAGTGGTATTAGTAATAACCCCAGGTAGTGGTAACAGTAATAACCCCAGGTGGTGGTATTAGTAATAACCCCAGGTGGTGGTAATAGTAATAACCCCAGGTATGGTATTAGTATAACCCCAGGTAGTGGTATTAGTAATAACCCCAGGTAGTGGTAACGTATAACCCAGGTAATGGTATAGTAGTACCCCAGGTAGTGGTATTAGAATAACCCCAGGTAGTGGTATTAGGAATAACCCCAGGTAGTGGTATTAGAATAACCCCAGGTAGTGGTTAGTAATAACCCCAGGTGTGGTAATAGTAATAACCCCAGGTGTGGTATAGTATAACCCGGTAGTGGATAGGAAAACCCCAGGTAGTGGTATTAGTAATAACCCCAGGTATGTAACAGTAATAACCCCAGGTAGTGGTAATAGTAATAACCCCAGGTGTGGATATAGTAATAACCCCAGGTGGTGGTAAAGTAATAACCCCAGGTAGTGGTAATAGTAATAACCCCAGGTAGTGATAATAGTAATAACCCCAGGTAGTGGTAATAGGAATAACCCCAGGTAGTGATAATAGTAATAACCCCAGGTAGTGGTAATAGTAATAACCCCAGGTAGTGGTAATAGTAATAACCCCAGGTAGTGGTATTAGTAATAACCCCAGGTAGTGGTATTAGTAATAACCCCAGGTAGTGGTAATAGTAATAACCCCAGGTAGTGGTAATAGTAATAACCCCAGGTAGTGGTAATAGGAATAACCCCAGGTAGTGGTATTAGTAATAACCCCAGGTAGTGGTAATAGGAATAACCCCAGGTAGTGGTAACAGTAATAACCCCAGGTAGTGGTAATAGTAATAACCCCAGGTAGTGGTAACAGTAATAACCACAGGTAGTGGTAACAGTAATAACCCCAGGTAGTGGTAATAGTAATAACCCCAGGTAGTGGTAATAGTAATAACCCCAGGTAGTGGTAACAGTAATAACCCCAGGTAGTGGTAACAGTAATAACCCCAGGTAGTGGTAACAGTAATAACCCCAGGTAGTGGTAATAGTAATAACCCCAGGTAGTGGTATTAGGAATAACCCCAGGTAGTGGTATTAGTAATAACCCCAGGTGGTGGTAATAGTAATAACCCCAGGTAGTGGTAACAGTAATAACCCCAGGTAGTGGTATTAGGAATAACCCCAGGTAGTGGTATTAGGAATAACCCCAGGTAGTGGTATTAGGAATAACCCCAGGTAGTGGTATTAGTAATAACCCCAGGTAGTGGTAACAGTAATAACCCCAGGTAGTGGTAATAGTAATAACCCCAGGTAGTGGTATTAGGAATAACCCCAGGTAGTGGTATTAGGAATAACCCCAGGTAGTGGTATTAGGAATAACCCCAGGTAGTGGTAACAGTAATAACCCCAGGTAGTGGTAATAGGAATAACCCCAGGTAGTGGTAATAGGAATAACCCCAGGTAGTGGTAATAGGAATAACCCCAGGTAGTGGTATTAGTAATAACCCCAGGTAGTGGTAATAGTAATAACCCCAGGTAGTGGTAATAGTAATAACCCCAGGTAGTGGTAATAGTAATAACCCCAGGTAGTGGTATTAGGAATAACCCCAGGTAGTGGTAATATTAATAACCCCATGTAGTGGTAATAGTAATAACCCCAGGTAGTGGTATTAGTAATAACCCCAGTAGTGGTATTAGGAATAAACCCAGGTAGTGGTAATATTAAAACCCCAGGTAGTGGTAATAGTAATAACCCCAGGTAGTGGTAATAGTAATAACCCCAGGTAGTGGTAATAGTAATAACCCCAGGTAGTGGTATTAGGAATAACCCCAGGTAGTGGTAATAGGAATAACCCCAGGTAGTGGTAATATTAATAGGTAGTGGTAATAACCCCAGGTAGTGGTAACAGTAATAACCCCAGGTAGTGGTATTAGGAATAACCCCAGGTAGTGGTATTAGGAATAACCCCAGGTAGTGGTATTAGGAATAATCCCAGGTAGTGGTATTAGTAATAACCCCAGGTAGTGGTAACAGTAATAACCCCAGGTAGTGGTAATAGGAATAACCCCAGGTAGTGGTATTAGGAATAACCCCAGGTAGTGGTATTAGGAATAACCCCAGGTAGTGGTATTAGGAATAATCCCAGGTAGTGGTAATAGGAATAACCCCAGGTAGTGGTAATATTAATACGTAGTGGTAATATTAATAACCCCAGGTAGTGATAATAGTAATAACCCTAGGTAGCTGTATCTGTTCTGAAACCACAGACCTTATTTAGCACCCCACTCTCTGGGCGCGTTCCAGCGGATCACTTTTGTGAAGTCGGTTGCCATCGTTGGTCACTGTCTTCCAAAGTGTGTTGCATTATGGGGATAAATATTGTCTGACATAAGTCTACATGATGACTGCATGAACTTTACAAAAACCATGTGATCAAAGGTCATGAAGTTTTGACTGCAAGTTGCTCTTCACCAGCTTCATGCTGCAGCTATCAGCTGCTAGACTGAAACAGGAACCAACTTTGTGCGATTCGTATATATACAGTGGACAAATTACTGACATACTTTCTTTCTCCAATTGATAATACAGTACATTAAAACATTTACAATATATTTACAGTTTGTGAGTGTGCGATATGGGGGGTTGGAAACATGTATATTTCGACATTACAACAACAACAAAAAAGTAGTACAAACGATAGCAACACTGCCATGTTCCACTGCATCTAAGCAAGCCTAAATATCTTATATTGATAAAATTAGTTGTTTTTTTTACTTCGTATCCCTCATTTACATTAAATCAATCCGATTTTTATATGAATAAAGGCTTGCTATAGTGCCAAATTTCAGCAACCCTGTGTCACTTCTAGGAAGATTTTAACCCACTTAATCCCACATTTTTTCCACGTTTCACCTTCATTGTAAAGCCCTAGTTATTTTGTTGCTTTGACAAAGTCCGTTGTGAAGATTGTTATTTATTTAATTTAATTAGTGATTCATTTACGTCTGTACCTGATTCTAATGTCAACCCTGTACGCGAACTGACCTCGTTTTAATATGGTGAAACTAGTCCTTTTAAAAAATAAAATAAAAAAAACTTTCAAAGAGCAAACAATTCACACAATGAAAACAATGAATGCGCAAAAATTGGCAGGAAACAGCTGAGTGCATTCTGGAGAGCTGAGCCCATGCATTCTGGAGAGCTGAGCCCATGCATTCTGGAGAGCTGAGCCCATGCATTCTGGAGAGCTGAGCCCATGCATCCTGGAGAGCTGAGCCCATGCATTCTGGAGAGCTGAGCCCATGCATTCTGGAGAGCTGAGCCCATGCATTCTGGAGAGCTGAGCCCATGCATTCTGGAGAGCTGAGCCCATGCATTCTGGAGAGCTGAGCCCATGCATTCTGGAGAGCTGAGCCCATGCATTCTGGAGAGCTGAGCCCATGCATTCTGGAGAGCTGAGCCCATGCATTCTGGAGAGCTGAGCCATGATTGAGCCCATGCATTCCTGGAGAGCTGAGCCCATGCATCCTGGAGAGCTGAGCCCATCATTCTGGAGAGCTGAGCCCATGCATTCTGGAGAGCTGAGCCCATGCATTCTGGAGAGCTGAGCCCATGCATTCTGGAGAGCTGAGCCCATGCATTCTGGAGAGCTGAGCCCATGCATTCTGGAGAGCTGAGCCCATGCATTCTGGAGAGCTGAGCCCATGCATTCTGGAGAGCTGAGCCCATGCATTCTGGAGAGCTGAGCCCATGCATTCTGGAGAGCTGAGCCCATGCATTCTGGAGAGCTGAGCCCATGCATCCTGGAGAGCTGAGCCCATGCATTCTGGAGAGCTGAGCCCATGCATTCTGGAGAGCTGAGCCCATGCATTCTGGAGAGCTGAGCCCATGCATTCTGGAGAGCTGAGCCCATGCATTCTGGAGAGAGACGCACCTATAGGCTATCTTCGCCACACACCACTCCCCTTCTTGTCTCAACATTTTAAATTATACTCAAGACACATTATCTTCACACTTATTTTTTATGCTTTTCACTGACAGCCGCAACTCGATAATCAGCTAGGCCTTTTGTCAGCACGCTGTCTATGAAAGACTTCCTCATATGCCATTTATCTCCTGTTCTGTTGGTTTTCATTTCAACTTTCTTTCGTTGTCCAGAAGCCAAAGGCACAATCCGAGTCATATTAGCAAACCAATCCTAGTCGTTGCATCTTTAGATTCACCCTAGATTCGTCTCGGTCATATACTGCTCGCATCAGGTGCGCTGTTTAGAATGGTGTTTTCCCAGGTGCGCTGTTTTCCCGCGAATTGTATTTTGGCAAATTGAATGAAAATGGCGTTTTATTGGCTGCTTCATTACAGGAGTTGTATGTTCTGTTAATATGAATTACCATAATGTAAATGTGATTTCTGTCATTCTGAGCACCGTGGATGGACGCCCTAATGGGTTCCCCACCCAATGCATATGGGTCAGGTACATTTCTCAAATGGCCGGCAAATTAAAAAATCTTTCCGGTCACGTTGTCGGGCGCCACATTTTCCTAACGGAAACCCTGGTGTGTGTGTGTATATAAACCCACCCTGTCTCGTCCGTATCTCCTCAGTAGTTTGTAGGGCCAGATCAGTAGACTGCTCTTGGTCTTGGACTCCTTCAGTATGAGACTGTCATTGTCGGCCTTCAGCCAGTAGGTTCCCAACAGACCACAACGCTCTGAGGCCTCTGTCCTCTGCACACTCACCCAGAACTCATTCACTGTAGAGGGGGAGAGAGAGAGAGAGGGGGGAGGATGGAGGAGGAGAGAGCGAGAGAGAGAGGGAGGTGAGGGGTTACAATAAATTACAATACAACTATTCTGGTCTAGCTTGTGGTTTAAAATACGTTTTCCTTTTTTTAACCTTGGCCTTTTAGTTTGTCAGTCAGCCTTTAACAGAAAGTGACAGTTTGTGGCAGTTTGTTGCATCACCATAACGATGAACGCTGTACAACCCTGCTTTCCCCTCTCAACAGAACTTTAAGACTTCATTCTCCATATTTTCTTCTTCTTCTTCTTTGTTTTTGTCTGTATACTGTAATTCAGCTTTTAGCTGGGAACGTGTACAAGACAACCTAATTAATAATAATAAAACCTTGAAATTCTGTACCTTCCCCCAGCTTCTCCATATAAATATATATGTCAGCAGACAGACTCTCACTGTCCAGTGTCTGTGGAAGTGGGGGGCTGTGTTGACAACTTCGACACAGGTGATTTGATTAAGAAAGCTAATCCTGACAAAATGGACGCCTTGTCTCCAGAGAGTCTTGTTGATATGAACGTTGCTAAGGAATGATTAGTCCATAATCAAGGTTTTCAAAAGTGTTTTTTTACAGGCTCAATGCACTCACAAAACTCAAGGGGTATTAGTGGCAGTGTGTGTGTGTGTGTGTGTGTGTGTGTGTGTGTGTGTGTGTGTGTGTGTGTGTGTGTGTGTGTGTGTGTGTGTGTGTGTGTGTGTGTGTGTGTGTGTGTGTGTGTGTGTGTGTGTGTGTGTTGTGTGTGTGTGTGTGTGTGTGTGTGTGTGTGTGTGTGTGTGTGTGTGTGTGTGTGTGTGTGTGTGTGTGTGTGTGTGTGTGTGTGTGTGTGTGTGTGTGTGTGTGTGTGTATTTACCCTCTTCTCGGCTGTAATAGATGAGATTCTCAGCCATCTCTAGATTAGTCTTTCCGTTAGAGTCAGACACACTACTGCTGCTACCACTAACCCCCTGAGAGATGGAGAGGGGGGGGGGGAGAAATGATTAATTGATTAGTATTGCTAATTCGCTCACATAAGAACCTACTGTTCACACATTTACAACTTACAAGATGAGAATAGGGAACAGATGAGACAGATAGAAGGGGAGCAGAGTAGATACAGATGAAAGTGAAGGATAGAGGGAGAGAAGGAGAGAGAACGATACGAGAGAAAGGAGACATATACATTAGAGAGATTGGATGTAGGAGATCAAGGGAGAAGAACATACAGTAGAAGTGAGACAGATACAGAGAGAGAAAGGGAGAGAGACGAGAGAAAAGGGAGAGAGAGAGGGAGAGAAGGAAGAGAGAGACATACAGAAGAAAATGGGAGTACGATTAATAGATGAAAAGGAAGAAGAAATGGAAAGACGATACAGAGAGAGAAAGGGAGACAGATACAGAGAGAGAAAGGGAGAGACAGATACAGAGAGAAAGGAGAGAGAGACAGATACAGAGAGAGAAAGGAGAACAGATAAGAGAGAAAAGTGAGAGAGAGACAGATACAAGAAGAGAGAAAGGGAGAGGATACAGAGAGAGAAGGGGAGGAGAAGAAAGATACAGAGGAGAAAGAGAGAGACATAGAGAGAGAGAGAAACAGAGAGATAAAGGAACGAGAAGAAAGAGAGAGAAAAGGAAGAGAGACAGATACAGAGAGAGAAAGGGAGACAGATACAGAGAGAGAAAGGGAGAGAGATACAGAGAGAGAAAGGGAGACAGATACAGAGAGAGAAAGGGAGAGAGAGAGAAAGGGAGAGAGAGACAGATACAGAGAGAGAAAGGGAGACAGATACAGAGAGAGAAAGGGAGAGACAGATACAGAGAGAGAAAGGGAGAGAGAGACATATACAGAGAGAGAGAGACACACACACTGAGTGAGGGAATCTAAACTCCCACGATGTCTAAAGAGAATCTTCCCTTTGGAAATTCCCTCTGTTTCTTTCCTCCTCAGTGCGTGTGAACATCTCTAACTGATATCCAGCCTACACCCTATACTCAAGGGGTGGGTGGGAACGCTACAATGCTAGAAAGCGAAAAGGCTAAAAGGCTAGATGACTAGAAGGCCTAAGGAAGTGACCTCAGTATATGGTACTGAAAACCCACATAGCTTTGAGAGGGGCAGAGCTACAGGAACACCAGTGTCTGTTGGAAAAAAATTATTATTTTTGATAAAATAATAATAAAGAGACATACAGACAGGCAGAAACAGAGAGAGAGAGAGACGAGAGAGAGAGAGAGAGAGAGAGACGGAGAGAGAGAGAGAGAGAGAGAGAGAGAGAGAGAGAGAGAGAGAGGGAGAGAGACGGAGAGGGAGAGAGAGAGAGAGACGGAGAGGGAGAGAGAGAGAGAGAGAAGAGAGAGAGAGAGAGACGGAGAGGGAGAGAGAGAGAGAGAGAGAGAGAGAGACCAAAGAGTTTCTTCACTCCATACCCCAAAGGCGATCTCACACATCTTCTCCACCCACTCCGTGCTGACGCTTCTCTCTGCAGCGAGCACATGAGTCTTGTCGTTGGTCTCCACACAAAAGGCGGACATATTGTCTTTGGGACAGGCTTCAGTGAGGGAAGGGAGGATGGAGATACAATCTGATAGACGGATAATCTGAGGAGGGACAGAGTGGGGGGAGAGAGAGATAGAGAGATTATTATTCATTTCATATTGTCTTTGGGACAGAAAAATGAATTATTTCAACCCCCCTGTATAAAAGACACCTGTCCACAAAAGCAATCAATCAATCAGATTCCAAACTCTCCACCATGGCCAAGACCAAAGAGCTCTCCAAGGATGTCAGGGACAAGATTGTAGACCTACACAAGGCTGGAATGGGCTACAAGACCATCGCCAAGCAGCTTGGTGAGAAGGTGACAATAGTTGGTACGATTATTCGCAAATGGAAGAAACACAAAATAACTGTCAATCTCCCTCGGCCTGGGGCTCCATGCAAGATCTCACCTCGTGGAGTTGCAATGATCATGAGAACGGTGTAGAATCAGCCCAGAACTACACGGGAGGATCTTGTCAATGATCTCAAGGCAGCTGGGACCAACGTCACCAAAAAAACAATTGGTAACACAATACGCCGTGAAGGACTGAAAACCTGCAGCGCCCGCAAGGTCCCCATGCTCAAGAAAGCACATATAGAGGGCCGTCTGAAGTTTGCCAATGAACATCTGAATGATTCAGAGGAGAACTGGGTGACAGTGTTGTGGTCAGATGAGACCAAAATCTAGCTCTTTGGCATCAACTCAACTCGGCGTGTTTGGAGGAGGAGGAATGCTGCCTATGACCCCAAGAACACCATCCCCACCGTCAAACATGGAGGTGGAAACATTATGCTTTGGGGGTGTTTTTCTGCTAAGGGGACAGGACAACTTCACCGCATCAAAGGGACGATGGACGGGGCCAAGTACCGTCAAATCTTGGGTGAGAACCTCCTTCCCTCAGCCAGGGCATTGAAAATGGGTCGTGGATGGGTATTCCAGCATGACAATGAACCAAAACACACGGCCAAGGCAACAAAGGAGTGGCTCAAGAAGAAGCACATTAAGGACCTGGAGTGGCCTAGCCAGTCTCCAGACCTTAATCCCATATAAAATCTGTGAAGGGAGCTGAAGGTTCGAGTTGCCAAACGTCAGCCTCAAAACCTTAATAACTTGGAGAAGATCTGCAAAGAGGAGTGGAACAAAATCCCTCCTGAGATGTGTGCAACCCTGGTGGCCAACTACAAGAAACGTCTGACCTCTTTGATTGCCAACAAGGGTTTTGCCACCAAGTACTAAGTCATGTTTTGCAGAGGGGTCAAATACTTATTTCCCTCATTAAAATGCAAATCAATTTATAACATTTTTGACATAAGTTTTTCTGGATTTCTTTGTTGTTATTCTGTCTCTCACTGTTCAAATAAACCTACAATTAAAATTATAGACTGATCATGTCTTTGTCAGCGGGCAAACGTACAAAATCAGCAGGGGATCAAATACTTTTTTCCCTCACTGTACATTTTTTCAAACTTATGGGCGATTCACGATATATATATCCCCCAAAAAAAAAAAATCTCTAAATATGCGTTGTTGTATAATTAAAGGTCCAATACACTGCATTTCAAACAGTCAGCAATAATCTAATGAATTCAGGGCTTATAGAATTATACCTAGGCTAAATATAAGCCTTCCACAACCTTAAGACCCACTAATAATTTAATTAATTATTTTATCAAAATAGTTTAACCTGCTTTTTTTTTGCAATAATCACTGACCTGGCTTTCAAGTCTGTATATGAAAATGCCCTTTTTTGTTACAATTTAACTAGAACCATGCATAATGCACATTCACTAATAATGACTAACTTCTTGTAGAAGGCATTAGGCTGTAGAAAATTAACACGTGCTAGTGATTAGCCAGCTAATCTTTATATTTCAACCCAACTTGATTATATTTGCTAGCTAACAAGGTTGAACAGTTGAATTGTTATGAACACACCCTTCTGTCTGTCTCCAACTGTTTGAAAAGCCTGTCTACTTTGTTCAGATGTCGAAATCAAGTGGCCTACCTTATTTCTCAAAATGAGAACAAGTTATATAATTGTGTTTTATGCTTATTGTACATTTATAAAACACAGACTAGACAGGTAATAACAGTGGTACCCCAATGCCTCTCGACTACAAACTGAGCATTCATTTTCTAGAATCAATGTTCGTTGATACTCTTGCTTAGTAGTGTCTGTTCTGCGTGCAATTTGAGTAGTTGAGACATTAAAAGGGTATCGTTAGAAAAGTTAACTTCTTCTCTATTACAGTAAAATAAAGTCTCAATGTGTTTGGTGTCCATATGACCGATTCTGTTGGACCAAACCTCAAATGCAAAGAGAGTTGATGTGATCTCCCAACGTTGTTGGCGTGAGAGGCAGGGGGAGGGGCTTGGTGTGTGTGTAAACCATAGAGGAAGAGGTGACGCAAGAGGTTTCACTCTCGCTAAAATCTGTCCAAAAGAAGCCCAATGCGTTTCTATGTGCTTATTTTGGACCTAAGCTTGTCGCCTGCCTTCTCGCCTTTGGGACAGCGACTCCCATTGTCAGGGCAGAGACGTACATCTCTTCATTATATTCAGATCTCTGGTGTAAATGGGGAAGGTGCACACAGCACAGAGGAGCGACAGAGACGAGACCAAAAAGACAACATGAGAACAAGCGGACATAAACGCTCATAAACACTAAAAATAACAAAACCTTGATTCTTGCGATACAGGCATTTGGAATATCGCGCAAAAAACATAAATTCAAATGAATCAAATTAATTCGATATATCGCCCAGCCCTACGTCTGACCAGGGATTTGAACCTAGAACCCTCCGTCCGACCAGGGATTTTGAACCTACCTTCTTGTCTAGTTTCTTGGTGTTGGGTTTGTCGCTGGCCCCGCCCCCTGAGCAGTCGTAGAACTCTAGGCGAGCGATGCCGTTTTGACTGGCTGGGTAGAGGACAAACCAGTTCTTCTTCCATTTCTGATGGAGGGAGAGAGAGGGGAGGGAGTTAGTCAATCCAACTGCTAAAACTGAAACAGCTTTTAGGAGAGTAAGACTGTTGGGTAACCACAGTCAGTACTAACCAAATGAAAGTATTCTTCAGTAAATAAAATTACTATGGTAAATCCTATCTGAATAAGACTTACAGAGTATCTAGATCACTAGGACACTAGTGATCTAGATGAGAACACAGAACAACCTTGAGGGGAAGTAGGGGAAATCTGCAGAAGGCCTTAGATGGTGTAAAGGAAGTAGGAACGTTTAGAGGCCTGTACGCAAGTCCCTAAGAGAAAGTCTAATCAGTCATACACACACAAACAGTCTCTCAAACAGGTGGTTAAGGACCTATTCAGAGAAGGGACCTCCTATTGGGCTATCTATATCAAGAGGAAGTACCAGCTAACATCATGGAGTCCCTTCCTGCTCAGAGACACACGGTGACCTCAGCAAACACAGGAGGTGACTAGGAGAGTGTGTGTGTGTGTGTGTGTGTGTTAACATTCTGCCTAGAGTGTAAACAAATTAGGTGGCCCTATGTCATAACCTCATTGCCTTATTTACAAAACATTGAGCTAATGTTTACACTCTTAACTCAACAAACAGGAAAGAATATGTGAGAGAATGATGTGGCAGAGGCATGACCTTCTATAGACACAAACTCAAGCTCTTTACATGTTCAAATGTCGCTGCTCACGCCATGCAAATAACACGTCAACTCTAAGGCATAAGGCTGAGAGAGAGGGGGGGGGGGGGGAAGAGATAGAGAAGATAGAAGCGAGGGGGAATAATGAGAGAGGGAAATAGAGAGGGAGAGGAAGAAGAGAGGGATCGAGGGAGAGAGAGTGGGGAGCGAGGGAGGGGGAAGATGGAGAGAAGGGGGAGAGATAGAGAGGGTGAGAGGGAGGGAGAGAGGGCAGGAGGGAGAGTTGATGTCGATTGAGAGGTCGTGTGTAGGTTGGATCTTTTTTCCGTTGGGGGGTTCGTTTTCGTGTTGTCGTGGGGTGCGGGGTTGCTATGTGGGGTGGGCTGTGCGTGAGAGATGGGGTGGAGAGAGTGGGGTCAAGTTAATATGTTCGAGCCTAAATGACATCAGTGATGGAGAGAAAACACAGACACACACACACAGACACGCAGTGTTGTCTCACCTAACCATCTTAAGATGAATGCACTAATATGCAGTGCATTCGGAAAGTATTCAGACCCCTTGAGTTTTTATTTTGTTACGTTACAGCCTTATTAAAATTGATTAAATCGTTTTTTTTCCCCCTCATAAATCTACACACAATACCCCATAATGACAAAGCAAAAACAGGTTTTTATAATTTCTTGCAAATGTATTACAAATAAAAAACGGAAATATCACATTTACATAAGTATTCAGACCCTTTACTCAGTACTTTGTTGAAGTACCTTTGGCAGCGATTACAGCTCGAGTCTTCTTGGGTATGACGCTACAAGCTTGGCACACCTGTATTTGGGGAGTTTTCTCCCATTCTTCTCTGCAGATCCTCTCAAACTCTGTCAGCTTGGATGGGGAGAGTCTCTGCACAGCTATTTTCAGGTCTCTCCAGAGATGTTTGATCAGGTTCAAGTCCGGGCTCTGGCTGGGCCACTCAAGGACATGCAGAGACTTGTCCCGAAGCCACTCCTGCGTTGTGTTGCCTTTGTGCTTAGGGTTGTTGTCCTCTATGTACTTTGCTCCGTTCATCTTTCCCTCGATCCTGACTACTCTCCCAGTCCCTGCCGCTGAAAAACATCCCCACAGCATGATGCTGCCACCACCATGCTTCACCGTAGGGATGGTGCCAGGTTTCCTCCAGACCTGACGCTTGGCATTCAGGCCAAAGAGTTCAATCTTGGTTTCATCAGACCATAGAATCTTGTTTCTCATTGTCTGAGTCCTTTAGGTGCCATTTGGCAAACTCCAAGCGGGCTATCATGTGCCTTTTACTGAGGAGTGGCTTCCGTCTGGACACTCTACCATAAAGGCCTGATTGGTGGAGTGCTGCAGAGATGGTTGTCCTTCTGGAAGGTTCTCCCATCTCCACAGAGGAACTCTGGAGCTCTGTCAGAGTGACTATCGGGTTCTTGGTCACCTTCCTGACCAAGGCCCTTCTCCCCCGATTGCTCAGGCAGCCAGCTCTAGGAAGAGTCTTGATGGTTCCAAACTTCTTCCATTTAAGTATGATGGAGGCCACTGTGTTCTTGGGGACCTTCAATGATGCAGAAATGTTTTGGTACCCTTCCCCAGATCTGTGCCTCGACACAAACATGTCTCGGAGCTCTACGGACAATTCCTTCGACCTCATGGCTTGGTTTTTGCTCTGACATGCACTGTCAATTGTGGGTCCTTATATAGACAGGTGTGTGCCTTTCCAAATCATGTCCAATCAATTGAATTTACCACAGGTGGACTCCAATCAAGTTGTAGAAACATCAAGGATGATCAATGGAAACAGGATGCACCTGAGCTCAATTTCGAGTCTCATAGCAAAGGGTCTGAATACTTATGTAAATAAGGTATCTGTTTAGTTTTTTTAATAAATGTGCAACATTTTCTAAAAACCTGTTTTCACTTTATCATTATGAGGTATTGTGTGTAGATTGATGAGGGGAAAAAAATAATGTAATACATTTTAGAATGAGGCTGTAACGTAACAAAATGTGGAAAAGGTCAAGGGGTCTGAATACTTTCTGAATGCACTGTAAGTCGCTCTGGGTAAGAGCGTCTGCTAAATGACTAAAATGTAAATATAACTGCCGCTGAGACAGAAACCAGGGGACAGGAAGTGTGTGGGATAATTACCCAGGAGCCTCTGCTTCCTCCTGCCTGCTATCTGCAGGTGTGTATCCCTTCTAACACACAGCTGTATGTGAGATCAGATCACTGTAACTGTATAAAAATAAAAAGCTTCAATTATAATGTAATCCCTGTATTGTATAGGCTTAGTGCATATAGCCTATCTGTGGGTAATCTTTAGGTATAATCTGGTGTCTCTGCATGCAGTATCCTGGTATGTTGTGTTGACATGATGGTACTGAATGAACAAGCCAGCAGCACCAAATAAGGCAACGGTACGAGCATCAACCGCCAATACTGAATGGAAATTATGTAAATTAACTGAGAGAGAGAGAGAGAGAGAGAGAGAGAGAGAGAGAGAGAGAGAGAGAGAGAGAGAGAGAGAGAGAGAGAGAGAGAGAGAGAGAAGAGAGAGAGAGCGAGAGCGAGCAGAGAGAGCGAGATAGAGAGAGAAGAGAGAGAGAGAGAGAGAGAGAGAGAGAGAGTGAGAGAGAGAGAGAGAAAGAAAATGAGGGAGGGAGCTGACATTGACTTCCTCAAACCTGTGTCCTTTTGAAAGAAAACGTGTGTTTTTTCCCCCTTTATGCAGCTGCATTTCTACAAACAAAAGATACACACATTTTTACCTTTTACGATAACAACCAAACTGTAACATACACACATCTCACTGCAGAAAGCCCGGCAATCAATCACATTTTATAGTGTAGCGTCGAGGGTGTTCTAGTTGTTGTTCAGTGCAGTACAGTGCTGTCTGACCAGATGAATAGACCGACAAAGGCGTTTCTTCACACTAACAGAACATTACACTAACACTATCACACACCAGGGTAACGAGGAGAGATTGACAGGGAGTGGGTCAGTGTTAGAGAACATAGCAGAACACCACGTTCTACTCTGCATCGCCTTGCTTGTGGAAAGCACGCATAAAGAATGAGAGGTACAGACAGTGAGTCATTACAACTCGGTCAACTCTTTAACAGACAGACAGTCTGAGTGTTACAGGGGACTATTCTAGGCCTCTCAGCTCTAAACCTGTACAGACACTGAGTCATTACAACTCCGTGAACTAGGGCACACAAACAAACACACACACACACACACACACATACACGCAGACACAACGGATTAATCAACTGACAAAACTTTATACAAGCCCAAGTGGGCAAGCACAATCGCTGTGTCAACAGTTCTCCTGCCCGGTGTGTGTGTGTGTGTGTGTGTGTGTGTGTATGTGCGTGCGTGCGTGCGTGTGTGTATGTATGTATGTATGTGTGTATGTATGTATGTGTGTGTGTGTGTGTGTGTGTGTGTGTGTGTGCTGAGACGAGCATATTAAATAAGCATACAGACATAACAGGTTGTAAATAATACAGTCTGCCCAAAACCTCTAACCTCAAGAGCCTGGCTGGCTGGGTTTCACCTTGGTTTCATCCCAAAGTGTACCCTATTCCCTAGTGCTCTACTTTTGACCCTAAGGGCACTACTTAGGGCACTAGGACCATACGAGGGTGTGTACCCTCCTTTTTATTCTCTAAACCAGCGTTTCCCAAACTCGGTCCAAAAAAGTCCACCAGAGATAATGCTTCCTCAGGAAACTGAACTCATTCAGTGTCCACAAATCAATATTGCAAACCTTTTACAGTTCTTTCAACGAGAGAGCGTTCTGTGTTTCTGGTTCACATGCCTCTCTGTCAAGAACAGGAACCGCCTCCAAGCCATTGTGAACACCTGCTCTAAGATCACGGGGAAGAAGTCTGGCTTCATTCTTTGAGCAGCAGACCAGGAGGAAAGCCCATGCCATCCTGGGGGACAGCACCCATGTCCTCAACCCACAGTTCCAACTGCTCCCCCTTGGATGCCGCCTGCGCTGTCTCAAGTGCCCCACCAATAGGCGCAGGGTATGTTTGTCCTGTCTGAAGCACCCTGTCAGCCCCTCTGGGATTAATAAAGTTGTATTGTATTAACGTCAGCCCCTCTGGGATTAATAAAGTTGTATTGTATTGATGTCAGCCCCTCTGGGATTAATAAAATTGTATTGTATTGATGTCAGCCCCTCTGGGATTAATAAAGTTGTATTGTATTGATGTCAGCCCCTCAGGGATTAATAAAGTTGTATTGTGTATTTGTATTCATGTCTTGTTGTTTTATCCTGTAATAGCTTCTCTGGTTTCTACAGCCTCCAGGCCCCTAACACAACATATCATCCATCCACCACAACCAGTCTAGAGTCTACTACTGCAGGGTGCAGACAAACAGCTGCCTGTCTGTGTGTGTGTCAGTGGAGGCTGGTGGGAGCTATAGGAGGACAGGCTCATTGTAATGTCTGGAGTGGAATAAATGGAACAGAGTCAAACATGTGGTTTCTATGTTTGATCTGTTTTTTGTTTGTTTTTTTTACCCCTTTTTCTCCCCTATTTCGTGATATCTAGTTGGTAGTTACAGTCTTGTCCCATCGCTGCAACTCCCGTACGGACTCGGGAGAGGTGAAGGTCGAGAGCCGTGCGTCCTCCGAAACACGACCCTGCCAAGCCACACAGCTTCCGCTTAACCCGGAAGCCAGCGGCACCAATGTGTCGGAAGAAACACTGTACAACTGGCGACCGAAGTCAGCGTGCACGGCGCCCGGCCCGCCACAAGGAGTCGCTAGAGCGCGATGGGATAAGGACATCCTAGCCGGCAAAACCCTCCCCTAACCCGGACGACGCTGGGCCAATTGTGCGCCACCTCATGGGTCTCCCGGTCACGGCCGGCTGCGACACAGCCTGGGATCGAACCCGGGTTTGTAGCGACGCTACATGTGTGCATGCAGACAGACAGACAGAGCCAGACAACGGTCCGCTCACTAGCATCAACAGAACAGCTCCACTGATCTACTAGGTTTTACAGGAAGGACTTTGATACATGACTCCACAGATCTACAAGACATATGGATGAGCCATAGCCCCATCTCCAGTGAGCAGTCCTCACCGGTTCTCTCTCTCTCTCTATCGCTCGCTCTCTCTCTATTCAATACAATTCAAAGGGCTTTATTGGCATGGGAAACAAATGTTAACATTGCCAAAGCAAGTGAAGTAGATAATAAACAAAAGTGAAATAAACAATAAAAATGAACAATTAACATTAAACTCACAAAAGTTCCAAAGGAATAGAGACATTTCAAATGTTATATTATGTATATTTACAGTGTTGTAACGATGTGCAAATAGTTAAAGTACAAAAGGGAAAATAAATAAACATAAATATGGGTTGTATTTACAATGGTGTTTGTTCTTTTGGCAGCAGGTCACAAATCTTGCCAATCAAAATTGGATTTGTTTTCGAATTCTTTGTGTGTCTGTGTAATCTGAGGGAAATATGTGTCTCTAATATGGTCATACATTTGGCAGGAGGTTAGGAAGTGCAGCTCAGTTTCCACCTCATTTTGTGGGCAGTTGGCACATAGCCTGTCTTCTCTTGAGAACCAGGTCTGCCTACGTCGACCTTTCTCAATAGCAAGGCTATGCTCACTGAGTCTGTACATAGTCAAAGATTTCTCTGTCTCACTCTCTCTCTCTCTCTTTAGCAATGAGTAACAAGAGGAAGTTGTGTTGTAGCCAACACCGTGCATCCAAGGTCTCTTAGTTACTTCGCTCAGTCGAAGCATAGCACCCTCCTCTGACTGCATTAGGAAGACGTTTCAACAATCACACATGCATAGAAGCCTAGCTTGCAAGACAAATACAATTCACATTTACTGTTGCCGCAGGATTCAAATGAAGCAGGGTCAAGTTAAGATAGCGCATCTATAGTATGCATATCAGTATGATTAAAAAAAAATTTTTTAAAGGGAATTGAGCAGTGCTCTGCTATAAATGTACTTATGAAACCTTCAGACCTATTAGTAATACACAGTAGGGTCACATTTTCCGACCTCGGACATGGCAGTGCCAAAGTCTGTGTGTTCTCACCAATAGAACTGATGTTAAACAGGGATGATTGCGTAAGCATCTACCACCATCTGACACCATCGGACACTATCTGACATCATTTAACACCCTTATCTGACACCATTAGTCATAACCCACACAGCCCACAAAATAATAGATCATGGTAACTTCCACAAAGCTGTGAACGATCTGAGAGACAAGGCAAGGAGGAGGGCCTTCTACGCCATCAAAAGGGACATAAAATTCGACACACCAATTAGGATCTGGCTAAAAATACTTGAATCAGTTATAGAACCCATTGCCCTTCTGGGGTCCGCTCACCAACCAAGAATTCACAAAATGGGACAAACACCAAATTGAGACTCTGCATGCAGAATTCTGCAAAAATATCCATAACAAAGCCATCACCTACAGAGAGATGAACCTGGAGAAGAGTCCCCTAAGTAAGCTAGTCCTGGGGCTATGTTCACAAACACAAACAGACTCCACAGAGCCCAAGGACAACAACATAATTAGACCCAACCAAATCATGAGAAAACAAAAAGGTAATTACTTGACACATTGAAAATAATTAACAAAAAAACAGAGCAAACTAGATTGCTATTTGGCCCTAAACAGAGAGTACACAGTGGCAGAATACCTGACCACTGTGACTGACCCAAACATAAGGAAAGCTTTGACTATGTACAGACTCAGTGAGCATAGCTTTGCTATTGAAAAAGGCCGCCGTAGGCAGACCTGGCTCTCAAGAGAAGACAGGCTATGTGCACACTGCCCACAAAATGAGGTGGAAACTGAGCTGCACTTCCTAACCTCCTGCCAAATGTATGACCATAGAGACACATATTTCCCTCAGATTACACAGACCCACAAAGAATTCGAAAATAAATCCAATTTTGATAAACTCCCTTATCTACTGGGTGAAATACCACAGTGTGCCATCACAGCAGCAAGATTTGTGACCTGTTGCCACAAGAAAAGGGCAACCAGTGAAGAACAAACACCTTTGTAAATACAACCCATATTTATGTTGATTTATTTTTACTTTAACTATTTGCACATCGTTACAACACTGTATATAGACATAATGACATTTGAAATGTCTCTATTCCTTTGGAACTTGTGTGAGGGTAATATTTACTGTTCACTTTTTATTGTTTATTTCACTTTTGTTTATCTATTTCACTTGTTTTGGCAATGAAACATATGTTTCCCATGGCAATAAAGCCCTTTGAATTGAATTGAATTGAGAGACAGAGAGAGAGAGAGACAGAGAAAAAGAGAGAGTGAGAGAGAGAGGAGATAGAGAGAGAATTGAGTTGAAAGAAAGAGTACAAAGAGGCCTCTTACAGACTAGTGACCAGTGACTGTGTGTTACTATTAATGTTCATATCCAGCCCTGGGGGCTTAGGGCAAGGTTGCTATATACAGGCCTGGGGGCTTAGGGCAAGGTTGCTATATACAGGCCTGGGGGCTATAGGGCAAGGTTGCTATATACAGGCCTGGGGGCTTAGGGCAACGTAGCTATATATAGGCCTGGGGGCTATAGGGCAAGGTTGCTATATACAGGCCTGGGGGCTATAGGGCAAGGTTGCTATATACAGGCCTGGGGGCTTAGGGCAAGGTTGCTATATACAGGCCTGGGGGCTATAGGGCAAGGTTGCTATATACAGGCCTGGGGGCTTAGGGCAAGGTTGCTATATACAGACCTGGGGGCTATAGGGCAAGGTTGCTATATACAGGCCTGGGGGCTATAGGGCAACGTAGCTATATACAGGCCTGGGGGCTATAGGGCAAGGTTGCTATATACAGGCCTGGGGGCTTAGGGCAAGGTTGCTATATACAGGCCTGGGGGCTTAGGGCAAGGTTGCTATATACAGATCTGGGGGCTATAGGGCAGGGTTGCTATATACAGGCCTGGGGGCTATAGGGCAACGTAGCTATATACAGGCCTGGGGGCTATAGGGCAAGGTTGCTATATACAGGCCTGGGGGCTATAGGGCAAGGTTGCTATATACAGGCCTGGGGGCTATAGGGCAAGGTTGCTATATACAGGCCTGGGGGCTATAGGGCAAGGTTGCTATATACAGACTGAAAGATATAACATGAATGTCCTCTACTGATGCTTATTAAATACTTAGTAATAGTGATACTTGATATGATTGTGTTATGGCTCCTTAGTAAAAACGTGCGCGCGTACACATTACACGCACGCGCACACAGTAATATGCCTACTAAGTTGCAGCTGACACTGCAGAGAAAAAACAACTGCTCCAATGTTACAGTTCAAACAGATTGAATAAACACTGACAGTCTAGGCTACTATACATTCAACTTTAGACTGCTCTAGGTCTAGGCCTATCCGTCAGCTACAGTTTAAACTAGTTGATGGCTAAAGGGTAAAATCATGTCAAAACATTGATGCTGAGTTGCATTAGAGAGCTAAACTGGTTCCTTCTCAACTTCCCCTTGGTGTCGAACTTGTTCGGCAATGGGACTTTTCATAATATGAAAACTAAATCTTTGACATGGGATGTAAATTAGGCTACAATGGTTTGCAGGATGGTCGGGCCCGGCCTCTGAACTTGGCTGGATACAATAGCTTACTTTAAGTGGATCAATGTGTGCGCTATGACGTAGAATAACGTTCCCTAGTCCAGTCCATGACCGTTAACTCCGGTTCTGGAATTCCAACCAGATAAGGGCATTACGTCTTTTTCCACTTCAACTTGAAAACAGTTTTAGTGGTCTATGACAAGTTCGAACTACGTAGGCCTCCTGTAGCTCAGTTGGTAGAGCATGGCGCTTGCAACGCCAGGGTTGTGGGTTCGATTCCCACGGGGGGACAGTATGAAAAATGTATGCACTCACTTAACTGTAAGTCGCTCTGGATAAGAGCGTCTGCTAAATGATTAAAATGATTTTTTATTAAATATGTAGTTTTCTGATATTTTCTTGTCTTACCTTTATAAACTTCTGATGTTGAACGTAAAGTTGTCCCTCTTTTACGTGGGTATCCATCTCCCAAGGGTCGGACCCCGTCCCAAGAACTAGGATCCTCTCGAATTTGACACCACTTTTCGGTTACTTTTCCTTCTCCGTCTGAACTTCCTTCAACTCAACTTTACTTACTTCCGCAAACAACTCGCTTTTCTCAACGTTCCGATGCATTTAAAGTATTTTAATACAATTAAGACATGTTTAAAAAGAAAAAAAAACTACCCGGTGGTCTTGAAAAAGTTGTTATCTAACGTCCTGAAAACCTGTCGGTTATGTTATTGTCTGTCGCTTGTCGCCACCCGCCGCTCCCTCTTCCTCCTTGTGCTCCGCGTGCGGTGTGTCCTCACGCAGTCCGGCGTGCATGATGAGTGCGCTGCCCCGCTCTCTCCTCTCTGTGTTCCCCTCCTCTCTCTCTCTCTCTCTTCCTCTCCTCCTCCCACCTCCTCGTTTTGCACTCGGTCTGACAGTGTGAGGACAACAGCAGAGCAGCATTGTTCAACAGCTGGCTTGCAGGGCCACACACACACACACACATATACCTTTGACTTATTTATATTTGTTAATTCATTATTTCGGAAAGAAGTAGAAGGTGCTCAACCAACGTGAGTTGAGGTGCAACCTAAAAATGTGTAGACATCATTGGACAGGAAAAGGCGCAACGCTCGCTCACCATTAAAAATTCGTAGTTTTATTAGACAAGTTTAAAAGATTGAGGTTTCGGCCTTCTTCAGAATAATCACATTTACATTTTAGTCATTTAGCAGACGCTCTTATCCAGAGCGACTTACAGATATAACTCTCTCTCTCTCGCTCTCTCTCACACACACATAGCATATTTTGTACTATTCTTGTGGGAACCTCCAATTGATTTCCATTAAAAATCCTATTTTCCCAAAACCTAACCCTAAACCTAACCCCTAAATACCCTTTGTCCCCTCCCGTGCTTTATTGGCATGGTAGTATCTCTCTCGATCCTTGTAATTGAAGTTTTGCCATCAGTGCCTTGTGTAATTCCGCCGCCTGCTGGTTACTTTGCAATACTGCGACACTGATCCCCAGAGTACATTTACGTTTGTGTCATTTAGCAGACGCTCTTATCCAGAGCGACTTACAGTTAGTGAGTGCATACATTTTTCATACTGGCCCCCCGTGGGAATACGAACCCACAACCCTGGCGTTGCAAGCGCCATGCTCTACCAACTGAGCTACACGGGATACTAGAATAGCTCCTGAGTGAAGCTGGGCGTTGAATGTAATTATTTACAAGGTGTGGACGTCATAAAATCCTCCCACGATGAAACAGATTATATCAAAGTTATAATAAAAAAATGTCGAAGTCTAAACGGTATAGCGTCATCCTCATCAGTGGAGTGATCTGATTGGCTTGGAAACTGTAGTGACGTGTCACATGATCGAAACAGGGAAAAGAGAGAGGAAATGGCTGATGTGTTCGGTGGTGTTGAAGGGTGAGTCTCTAATAAAGCGTTTTTATCGTTTTTATACTGTAATAATTTGAATGGAAACGTGTTATCAAACAGATGCAGTGCAGAACTGATTAGGGCAAAAGGCTGTGCTGTTGTTTGATTGCCACATAGAAAATAAACCAGTCTGACTAAACTCTACACCAACGATTAATCGGAAAACTTCCTTCACCAGGGAGTGGAGTTTAGTCAGCTAAAATAAACCATGCTTTCGTGACAATTTTGCAAGACGGAAAGTCATCAAATTAGTGAGAGGTTTTGTCTTCTCTCTTATCAATATTTTTAAGGAAAAGCTTGCAATTAATTTGATTTGTATGTATGTATGTATGTATGTGTGTATGTGTGTGTATGTGTGTGTATGTGTGTGTATGTGTGTGTATGTGTGTGTATGTGTGTGTATGTGTGTGTGTGTGTGTATGTGTGTGTGTGTGTGCGTGTGTGTGTGTGTGTGTGTGTGTGCGTGTGTGTGTGTGCGTGTGTGTGTGTGTGTGTGCGTGTGTGTGTGTGCGTGTGTGTGTGCGTGTGTGTGTGTGTGCGTGCGTGTGTGTGCGCGCGTGTGTGTGTCCTCTCTATTGTAACAGTGGTGGGACCCACTCTAAGGCGGTGTTGGTCTCTGAGAATGGGAAGATCCTTTCAGAGACCGACGGCCCATCAACCAACCACTGGGTGAGATGACAGATCTAGGATCAGTTTACCATATTACCCATCCTGATGTTAACTGTTAGGAGGTTAAAGTAAAGCTCACCTCAGATCAGCCGAAGACCCCTCAACCAACCACTGGATGAGACCACAGAACTGCTAGTTCATTTACATTTACGTCATTTAGCAGACGCTCTTATCCAGAGCGACTTACAAATTGGTGCATTCACCCTATAGCCAGTGGGATAACCACTTTACAATTATAATTATTATAAAATTATTTTTATAGTTTTTTTTTCTTTTTTTAACACTGTTATGATGAAAGAGAGTAGGATGGAATGTTTGACTTGCGCAGGAACACACAGGAAATGAGTTCCGGCACCTCAAATGTTCTACTACTTGAGTTCCTGCAACCCTCTTGTAGATTATTGGCTTAGAAATATTATCCAGCATCTAAATAAAAAACATAATCGGCATCTATTTCAGTCTACTTCAACCACTTGTAAGTGCTGGTCTGAAGTCAGCTTTGTGTTTTACCCTCTTAATGGTTAAGGTCAGGATTTAGAGAGGGTAAGCTGGTCTTAGATATGTGCATAGAAGTGTGAAGAAAGAGGAAGTTAAGCTTCTATTAAAGTCATGAGTGGGTCTTGAACACTATCCACTTCTCCTGAAACGTTTCGTGAGTGATGACTGCATGTGTTGTGTTGTCTTTCAGTTGGTGAGTGATGACTGCATGTGTTGTGTTGTCTTTCAGTTGGTGGGTGATGACTATATGTGTTGTGTTGTCTTTCAGTTGGTGAGTGATGACTATATGTGTTGTGTTGTCTTTCAGTTGGTGAGTGATGACTGCATGTGTTGTGTTGTCTTTCAGTTGGTGAGTGATGACTGCATGTGTTGTGTTGTCTTTCAGTTGGTGAGTGATGACTGCATGTGTTGTGTTGTCTTTCAGTTGGTGAGTGATGACTGCATGTGTTGTGTTGTCTTTCAGTTGGTGGGTGATGACTATATGTGTTGTGTTGTCTTTCAGTTGGTGAGTGATGACTATATGTGTTGTGTTGTCTTTCAGTTGGTGAGTGATGACTGCATGTGTTGTGTTGTCTTTCAGTTGGTGAGTGATGACTGCATGTGTTGTGTTGTCTTTCAGTTGGTGAGTGATGACTGCATGTGTTGTGTTGTCTTTCAGTTGGTGGGTGATGACTATATGTGTTGTGTTGTCTTTCAGTTGGTGAGTGATGACTATATGTGTTGTGTTGTCTTTCAGTTGGTGAGTGATGACTGTATGTGTTGTGTTGTCTTTCAGTTGGTGAGTGATGACTATATGTTGTCTTTCAGTTGGTGAGTGATGACTGTATGTGTTGTCTTTCAGTTGGTGAGTGATGACTGTATGTGTTGTCTTTCAGTTGGTGAGTGATGACTGCATGTGTTGTGTTGTCTTTCAGTTGGTGAGTGATGACTATATGTTGTCTTTCAGTTGGTGAGTGATGACTGTATGTGTTGTCTTTCAGTTGGTGAGTGATGACTGTATGTGTTGTCTTTCAGTTGGTGAGTGATGACTGTATGTGTTGTCTTTCAGTTGGTGAGTGATGACTGCATGTGTTGTGTTGTCTTTCAGTTGGTGAGTGATGACTATATGTTGTCTTTCAGTTGGTGAGTGATGACTGTATGTGTTGTCTTTCAGTTGGTGAGTGATGACTGCATGTGTTGTGTTGTCTTTCAGTTGGTGAGTGATGACTATATGTTGTCTTTCAGTTGGTGAGTGATGACTGTATGTGTTGTCTTTCAGTTGGTGGGTGTTGACAAGTGTATCGAGGAAATCAACAACATGGTCCAGAGAGCCAAGAAAGAAGCGGGGCTAAACCCAGACATACCTCTCCGCTCTCTGGTGAATCAACTAATGATTTTAATGTCAAAAATCTAATCTAATGCCTAATATATACCATTAACCAACTCGGTTGATTCTCAGTTAGCTACTCAAAATGACGATCCTGAGCACTTGCATCGAGTTTATAATTTGCTACGCATCTACACAGAATCACCTTTTTGTGAAGCTAATTGTAGCTCTTGGGTTGTGTATTGTGTAGGCTAATAGTTACTAAGGCTTAAGGTCAATTCCATGTAAAAGGACACATGAGCACCAACATGTGAAATTCATAGGAGCATGTCAAATTGGGTGCTAAGAGTCTATATTTTTATATAAATTATTTCAACAATTTTCCATCCTAAAAATGAGGAATAATCAAAGGCTTTGATTTCTTGTCAAACAGATGGAAAATGGATCTTAGAACACATCTACCAGAAAAAGTATTAACAAGTATTAGAAATACATCAAAACACAATAATGGTGAAGACCTGTGACAACTAATATCAACACTTATATTTAGTGTTGTATCATTTTTTCTGCCTTCTGTAACTTTAAGAAACATTGCCTTGTGCCTTGAAATTCCGTTACCAAAAACCCTAATATCTTTAAGATATTTTCTAATTTCTCTCCCTCGTGAAGAGGGAGGATAATGAAAATTCACAGAAGTAACAAGTAAAGGTATACCTATTAATTACTTATATTGTTTTTACTGACATAGATTTTGTGTATGAATTATTAAATGATTAAAAGTAAATTCTGTTACCAAATCAGTAACAGAATTTCTGCAATTTATTTGGCTACAATAGGAAATCATAGTAGTCACCAACCCCAGTTGGGTCACCTGCTACTGTCCTCCCTTCCACTGGCATACTGTTATGTTCAGCTGATAACTCTGTTGTTTGTATTTCTGTCATCTGGTGGTCAAAGCGAGATGGTGAAAAGTTCTCTCTCTCTCTCTCTCTCTCTCACTCTCACTCTCACTCTCACTCTCACTCTCACTCATACATAACCCCCCTATTTAGGATAAATCACCATTAAGAGAAAGACATTAATATGCATTTCTGTGTAGTACAGATCAGGTACCCATGATGTCATTCCATTACCACAATTCTGTTACACTTCACTTACTGTAGTTCAATAACCAAAATAGATTTTTTCAAAACTCAAGTTGTCATGTCATAGCTGACTCCCCATTCTTTCTGCAGACATCTTTGAATCTTAATTCAGAGCAGATATTTATGAGTTTTGGGAAAACGTGGTCACATAAAAAAACGGAGGGAGATTTTACCAAACTTTGCATCTGCGCAGTTCTTCCAGTAAATGTGTTTTTGTAAAATATTCGGTGTAAATTGTTTAAAATAGTCCTTGTGCATAGAGTTGTATGGTTTGTTAAAATTTGAAATCAGTGGTTTTTGTTAAGTGAAGAATCTGAGTCTCAGCGCAATTCCGTTAGCGTGTAATTGCCTCTTTACTAAGTAGGCTTAACTGAACTATTATTACAACTTGTAATATCTTGGTCTCCCAGGGAATGTCTCTAAGCGGAGGAGAACAGAAAGATGCTATAGACAAGATCATCTGTGAGATGAAGAAGAGGTTTCCTAAACTCAGCAGTGACTATTACATCACCACAGATGCCATCGGTGCCATGGCAACAGCCAGCGACCAGGGTAACGGAATCATCTTTTTAACATAACTTTATTTAAAGTGATCAATTAGGATTTGAAAGAATGATTTAATATGATCAATAGCCAGCATCAGAAGTGAATCTTTAATCTGGGTGTGGTGTCCTTCGCTTTATTGTTGAAAGGAATGTTCACTGTCGTCATATAACTGTGTAATATAACTTCACTCCTCCCTCCATCTCTCTCTACCCGCCCAGCCCTCCTCGCCATCGCCTCTACCCCCTTCAGCCGCTCCCTCCAAGGCCCTCCCTCCCCCCACGGCTTACTCCCACAGACCGCCCTCCCCTCCATCACTGGCTCCCCAGAGCACCCTCGGCGGCCCAAGCCAGAAGAAAGAGAGAGCGAGCACCCCCTCCCCCAGGCGAGAAAGCCGGACCGATCTCTCCACTCCCCCAGGCGCCATTCTCTCTACCTCCCTTCCTCTTCTCCATCTCTCTCTACCTCCCTTCCTCTCTCCATCTCTCTCTACTCCCTCCTCTCCATCTCTCTCTACCTCCCTTCCTCCCTCCATCTCTCTCTACCTCCCTTCCTCCATCTCTCTACCTCCCTTCCTCCTCCATCTCTCTCTACCTCTCCCTATAGGAGGTATAGTGTTAATCAGTGGGACTGGTTCTAACTGTAAGCTGGTGAACCCAGATGGAAGTCAGGTCGGCTGTGGAGGCTGGGGTCATATGATGGGGGACGAAGGGTCAGGTAGCTATGACGACAACAATCCACATAAACAGAAGTCCAATAAACTGATACAACTCCTCTCTTCTCTCATGGTCACCTCTCTGTTTTCCCACTCTTTTCCTCCATTCATCCTACTGTCTCTCTTTCTCCATCCCTTTTAGCCGTTGAACTCTCTTCCCTCTCTCCGTCAGCGTTCTGGATCTCCCACCTGGCAGTGAAGACGGTGTTCGATGCCAAAGACAACCTGGCCACGCCCCCTCATGATGTCACTCACGTGAAGAAGGTCATGGAGGAGTACTTCCAGGTGAGAGGTCAACAGGAAGTACAACAGGAAATTCAATTGAGGACAGGCTTAACTGAATGACAACAGAGACAGAATGCAATATGGAATTTCATTGAATAGTTTGGGGTAGGCCTCGTCTCCAAGGAATGCCCCTCAGAACCAGATGCTGATGACCGGTTGCCCTAAACGAGGTTCCGATGATAGTCCTTCAGTTGGTGGTGGGGAGGTGGAAGGTTGTTGGAAGACTGTTGCTGCAAAAGAGCAAGTGGGAAACAAAAGGTTTGAGTTGACATATATATACTCCCCTAGATTTATGCCCATTGGTTGAAAGGAAAGAAAGTGATTATTGCACCTGTGAGTCCATCGGTTAATCAGCGAGTGAGTTGGAATTGCCTTAGTGTGCCATGCTCATAGGCTGAAATGAATTGGTGAATGACATTCCGCACACTTGCTAATAGTAAAGCAGGAGGAAAGACATGACGCTATGCTAATAAGCTAACATTATTGTTATGATGAGTTTCTCGGGTATCAAGTAATCGAGGATGTAAGGATATACTTAGACACTTTTGATGGAGAGTTCCTATAAGTATTTAATAGCCACCATGGTTCGTTATAACAGAAGGACAGGGCTCTGCCTCTTGCTATTCCGAACTCACTTAGAACAAAGAACATATCTCATCTTATATACACTCTGTTATACGTTTCTTCACGAACATCTGTTAACCATCAATGGGCACTCCCTTCTTTGATGTTATTACCCTTTACCCCAAGTCATTATATCCTGTCCATCAATCATGCTATCATAAACATCAGTGATCTCCTTTGACATAACGCAATGCAGACTCTGTTTCACCAAGCCACTTATCTACTAACTCTAACCTGGTCCACAACACTATGAAAACATAATATCAATTATGACACTACTATATAAATACCTGCTATGCTAATAAGGTAACATTATGACACTACTATATACATACCTGCTATGCTATTAAGGTAACATTATGACACTACTATATAAATACCTGCTATGCTAATAAGGTAACATTATGACACTACTATATAAATACCTGCTATGCTAATAAGGTAACATTATGACACTACTATATAAATACCTGCTATGCTAATAAGGGAACATTATGACACTACTATATAAATACCTGCTATGCTAATAAGGTAACATTATGACACTACTATATAAATACCTGCTATGCTAATAAGGTAACATTATGACACTACTATATAAATACCTGCTATGCTAATAAGGTAACATTATGACACTACTATATAAATACCTGCTATGCTAATAAGGTAACATTATGACACTACTATATAAATACCTGCTATGCTAATAAGGTAACATTATGACACTACTATATAAATACCTGCTATGCTATTAAGGGAACATTATGACACTACTATATAAATACCTGCTATGCTAATAAGGTAACATTATGACACTACTATATAAATACCTGCTATGCTAATAAGGTAACATTATGACACTACTATATAAATACCTGCTATGCTAATAAGGGAACATTATGACACTACTATATAAATACCTGCTATGCTAATAAGGTAACATTATGACACTACTATATAAATACCTGCTATGCTAATAAGGTAACATTATGACACTACTATATAAATACCTGCTATGCTAATAAGGTAACATTATGACACTACTATATAAATACCTGCTATGCTAATAAGGTAACATTATGACACTACTATATAAATACCTGCTATGCTAATAAGGTAACATTATGACACTACTATATAAATACCTGCTATGCTAATAAGGTAACAGTATGACACTACTATATAAATACCTGCTATGCTAATAAGGTAACATTATGACACTACTATATAAATACCTGCTATGCTAATAAGGTAACAGTATGACACTACTATATAAATACCTGCTATGCTGCTGAGGTAAATAGGAAGCAATGTGAATTAAGTGACAAGCCATTCACTTGTCACTTATAAATCGTCTAGTAAACACAATATACATTATGTTTGAGTTGTAGAACACTAAGGTAACCTGCCTAAATGACTCTGTGCCCAAGAACACTAAGGTAACCTGCCTAAATGACTCTGTGCCCAAGAACACTAAGGTAACCTGCCTAAATGACTCTGTGCCCAAGAACACTAAGGTAACCTAATCTCTATTGCGCTCCACACTGCCCTTTCACACCTGGACAAAAGGAACACCTATGTGAGAATGCTATTCATTGACTACAGCTCAGCGTTCAACACCATAGTGCCCTCAAAGATCATCACTAAGCTAAGGACCCTGGGACTAAACACCTCCCTCTGCAACTGGATCCTGGACTTCCTGACGGGCCGCCCCCAGGTGGTAAGGGTAGGTAACAACACATCCACCACGCTGATTCTCAACACTGGGGCCCCTCAGGGGTGCGTGCTCAGGCCCCTCCTGTACTCTCTGTTCACTCATTACTGCATGGCCAGGCACGACTCCAACACCATCATTAAGTTTGCCGATGACACAACAGTGGTAGGCCTGATCACCGACACGAGACAGCCTATAGGGAGGAGGTCAGAGACCTGGCCGTGTGGTGCCAGGACAACAACCTCTTCCTCAACGTGATCAAGACAAAGGAGATGATTATGGACTACAGGAAAAAGAAGAGGGCCGAGCACGCCCCCATTCTCATCGACGGGGCTGTAGTGGAGCAGGTTGAGAGCTTCAAGTTCCTTGGTGTCCTCATCACCAACAAACTAACATGGTCCAAGCACACCAAGACAGTCGTGAAGAGGGCACGACAAAACATATTCCCCCTAAGGAGACTGAAAAGATTTGGCATGGGTCCTCAGATCTTCAAATGGTTCTACAGCTGCACCATCGAGAGCATCCTGACTGGTTGCATCACTGCCTGGTATGGCAACTGCTCGGCCTCCGACCGCAAGGCACTACAGAGGGTAGTGCGTACGGCTCAGTACATCACTGGGGCCAAGCTTCCTGCCATCCAGGACCTCTATACCAGGCGGTTCAGAGGAAGGCCCTAAAAATGGTCAAAGACTCCAGACTCCCTAGTCATAGACTGTTCGCTCTGCTACCGCACAGCAAGTGGTACCGGAGCGCCAAGTCTAGGTCCAAGAGGCTTCTAAACGGCTTCTACCCCCAAGCCATAAGACTCCTGAACATATAAACAAATGGCTACCCAGACTATTTGCATTGCCCCCCCCCCCCTCATCTTTTACACTGCTGCTACTCTCTGTTTATTATCTATGCATAGTCACTTTAATAACTCTACCTACATGTACATATTACCTCATTTACCTCTACTAACCGGTTCCCCCGCACATTGACTCTGTACCGGCACCCCCTGTATATAGCCTCGCTATTGTTATTTTTACTGCTGCTTTTTAATTATTTGTTACTTTTTATTTCTTATTATTTTATATTGTATTTTTTTGTGATTCTTTTTGGTTTTCTTTCTTAACTGCATTGTTGGTTAAGGGCTTGTAAGTAAGCATTTCACCTGTTGTATTCGGCGCATGTGACAAATAAAATGTGATTTGATTTGATTTAGTTCATCTGACCTCTATCTTTCTCTCTCTCTCTCTCTCCTTCCCTCTCTCTGTTTTTCCAGGTATCAGACTTGATGGGGATGCTCCCTCATCTCTACAGAAACTTCCAGAAGTCTCACTTTGCTGGGCTCTGCCAGAAATTAGCTTTAGGTTTGTTTTCCTCCTATTTTCACTCTCCCAACAGCATAAGTGTTTGGACCGGAGTCACGGTATTGCATGGGTTTAATCAACCTCAGATCCGATAATAGATATTTTGTATTAATCTGTAAACCTTGATTATGGTGAGTTACAGGGGCTGTGGCTGGTGATGCTCTGTGTCAACATGTGTTCACCCAGGCAGGCAAGGTCCTGGCCCAGCACATAGTGGCTGTGCTACCTAAAGCGCAACAGGTGAGGCACAGACACGCACACATTGTACCCATATACAGTGCATTCGGCAAGTATTCGGACCCCTTTACTTTTTACACATTTTGTTACAGCTTATTCATAAATCCCCTCATCAGTCTACACACAATACCCCATAATGACAGAGCAAAAATAGGTTTTTGCAACAACAACAAAAATAACAACGGAAATATCACCATTTCATAAGTATTCAGACCCTTTACACTTGCTCAATACTTTGTTGAAGCACCTTTGGTAGCGATTACAGCCTCAAGTCTTCTTGAGTATGACGCTACAAGCTTGGCACACCAGTATTTGGGGAGTTTCTCCCATTCTTCTATGCAGATCATCTCAAGCTCTGTCAGGTTGGATGGGGAGCGTTGCTGCACAGCTATTTTCAGGTCTCTCCAGAGATGTTCGATCAGGTTCAAGTCCGGGCTCTGGCTGGGCCACTCAAGGACATTCAGAGACTTGTCCCGAAGCCACTCCTGCGTTGTCTTGGATGTGTGCTTAGGGTTGTTGTCCTGTTAGAAGATTTTATTTTATTTGAGGTGAACTTTTGCCCCTGTCTGAGGTCCTGAGCGCTCTGGAGCAGGTTTTCATCAAGGATCGCTCTGTACTTTGCTCCATTAATCTTTGCCTCGATCCTGACTAGTCTCCCAGTCCCTGCAACTGAAAAACATCCCCACAGAATGATGCTGCCACCACCATGCTTCACCGTAGGGATGGTGCCAGGTTTCCTCCAGACTTGACACTTGGCATTCAGGCCAAAGAGTTCAATTTTGGTTTAATCTGACCAGAGAATCTTGTTTGTCATGGTCTGAGAGTCTTTAGGTGCCTTTTGGCAAACTCCAAGCGGGCTGTCATTTGCCTTTTCCTGAGGAGTGGCTTCCGTCTGGCCACTCTACCCTAATGATTGGTGGAGTGCTGCAGAGATGGTTGTCCTTCTGGAAGGTTCTCCCATCTCCACAGAGTGACTATCGGGTTCTTGGTCACCTCCCTGACCAAGGCCCTTCTCCCCTGATTGCTCAGTTTGGTCGGTAGGCCAGCTGTAGGAAGAGTCTTGGTGGTTCCAAATGTCTTCAATTTAACTGTGTTCTTGGGGACCTTCAATGCTGCAGACATATTTTGGTACCCTTCCCCAGATCTGTGCCTCGACACAATCCTGTCACGGAGCTCTACGGACAATTCCTTCTGGTTTTTGCTCTGACATGCACTGTCAACTGTGGGACTTTATATAGACATGTGTGTGCCTTTCCAAATCATGTCCAATCAATTAAATTGACCACAGGTGGACTCCAATCAAGTTGTAGAAACATCCCAAGGATGCTTAATGGAAACAGGATGCACCTGAGCTCAATTTCGAGTCTCATAGCAAAGGATCTGAATACCTATGTAAATAAGGTATCCGTTTTTTAATTTTTAAACATTTGCAAAAATTTCTACAAACCTGTTTTCACTTTGTCATTATAGGGGATTGTGTGTTGATTGATGATTTAAAAAAAATATTTCATCAATTTTAGAATAAGGTTGTAACGTAACAAAATGTGGAAAAAGTCAAGGAGTCCGAATACTTTCCGAATGCACTGTACTTTTACCCTTTTATATGATGTCGTATGATATTGTATCCCTCCCCCCTATCTCTCTCTCCCTCCCTCGCTGTCTTTCCCTCGCTGTCTCTCTCTCTCCCTCCCCCTCTCTCGTCTCTCTGTCTCCCTACACCAGCCTCTGTTGACAGGTGAACTACCAATCTTGTGTGTTGGATCAGTGTGGAAGAGCTGGGAGCTGCTGAAGCCAGGTGGGTTATAACTGACTGTGTTGTTGGATCAGTGTGGAAGAGCTGGGAGCTGCTGAAGCCAGGTGGGTTATAACTGACTGTGTTGTTGGATCAGTATGGAAGAGCTGGGAGCTGCTGAAGCCAGGTGGGTTATAACTGACTGTGTTGTTGGATCAGTGTGGAAGAGCTGGGAGCTGCTGAAGCCAGGTGGGTTATAACTGACTGTGTTGTTGGATCAGTATGGAAGAGCTGGGAGCTGCTGAAGCCAGGTGGGTTATAACTGACTGTGTTGTTGGATCAGTATGGAAGAGCTGGGAGCTGCTGAAGCCAGGTGGGTTATAACTGACTGTGTTGTTGGATCAGTGTGGAAGAGCTGGGAGCTGCTGAAGCCAGGTGGGTTATAACTGACTGTGTTGTTGGATCAGTGTGGAAGAGTCCAGTCTGTTGTCAAAATGTGCTGTTATGCCAGGATTTCCTAGCCTGGGTACTAGTCTGTTTGTGCTAACATCCCACTCCTTGTCATGTTAAACATGATTGGAATGGCAAGGAGTGGGATGATGGCACAAACAGATCTGGGCTTTTTTCCAACATTTGGATGTCAAAATGACACTATATAAACTGGATTGCTGATATTGCTGATGCTATGTATTGGCCAATGAGAGGCTTTGAAGCCACTGGTCGGCCATATTGGCACTCCTCAGAAGACGCAGTCCTCAATAGGAATAAATGGAATTCTACAATATTTCATTTAAATGTTTCAAGGACAAAATTACATCTATTTAAGTATTTAGTTTTTGTAGTGGGGGACAGTAACATTAGTACTTTAAATAAATTATACTTTAAAGAAAACATTTGTATAGACCAGGGCTCTCCAACCCTGTTCCTGGAGAGCTACCCTCCTGTAGGTTTTCACTCCAACCCTGTTCCTGGAGAGCTACCCTCCTGTAGGTTTTCACTCCAAAAACCTACAGGACAGTATCTCTCCAGGAACTGGGTTGGAGGTAAAACCTACAGGACAGTAGCTCTCCAGGAACTGGGTTGGAGAGCCCTGGTATAGACACTATATATACAAAAGTATGTGGACATTAGTGTATTAGACTATGTCAGCCACACCCTTTGCTGACAGGTGTATAAAATCGAGCACACAGCCATGCAATCTCCATATGCAGTAGAATGGCACCGTCATAGGATGCCACCTTTCCAACAAGTCAGTTCTTCAAATTTCTGCCCTGTTAGAGCTGCCCCGGTCAACTGTAAGTGCTGTTATTGTGAAGTGGAAATGTCTAGGAGCAACAACGGCTCTGCCGTGAAGTGGTAGGCCACACAAGCTCACAGAACGGGACCGCTGAGTGCTGAAGCGCGTAGCGCGTTAAAATCGTCTGTCCTCTGTTGCAACACTCATTACCGAGTTCCAAACTGCCTCTGGAAGCAACGTCAGCACAATAACTGTTCGTTGGGAGCTTCATGAAATGGGTTTCCATGGCCGAGCAGCCGCACACAAGCCTAAGATCACCATGCGCAATGCCAAGCGTCGGCTGAAGTGGCGTAAAGCTCGCCGCCATTGGACTCTGGAGCAGTGGAAACACGTTCTCTGGAGTGATGAATCACGCTTCACTATCTGGCAGTCCGACGTACTAATCTGGGTTTGGCGCATGTCTGCTAAATGACTAAAATGTAAATGTAGTGTGTTTTTTTTATTTGTATGTTTAGCTAACATAATATAATTTAACAGTATGCACTAAGGTGTCTGTAATAGTGTAAATGTTGCAAAAACAAATGTAGACATTTATAAATGCAATTTCTATTGCTTTTTTAAATGGTTAGGGAGTGCCAAGATGGAGGTGAGATGGCTTCAAACAGCGCCCCCTGGTCAGTCATCTAGTGTATATATAAATAATTGGTTCAGCTAATCTCTATCTTCAGTCTAGCTCAACTCTAACCGTCTCGTCGGCAGGTTTCACACAGGTCCTGGTGGAGTTGGCGTCCACGCAGTCCTTCAGGGGTCGTTTCCACGGTTACAACCTCCTGACCCTGAGCCAGTCATCAGGGTCGGCGCTAGGCGGCGCGGGTCTCGGAGCGAAGAGCGTGGGCGCCACGGTAACGCTCAACTACGCCGCCAACGCAAACGTCTTCTACCAACACTCCTTTTAACAGCAGCCGATGAGGAATCGCCTCAGGACCCAGCTATAACTAGGGAAAAGTTTGGGATCGTACCAATAATTAAGTGTTTGGGATTTATTTCACCAATGGACTTGATTTGAAAAATGTATGCACTCACTAACTGTAAGTCGCTCTGGATAAGAGCGTCTGCTAAATGACTAAAATGTAAATGTAAAATGATTTGATTAGCTCTTGCTTCTTGTACTTCTAATAACTCGCCACAAGATGGTGCTCTTTAGCTATCAAGCGCACCGCAACTGTCCCATCATTGTACTGTGAATCAAAATACATTAGCAGGAAAGATTTGTATGTTTAATCATCATAAGAGAATATATTCTCTGAGGTATCTGTTTTCCAATAACTGTAATGCAATTATGAAATATACACAACATTTTATAATCTGTTTTGTAGTAAACATTTGTGAAAAAAACGAGACTTTGTTTTTCTACCGATTTCTTCTTCTCTCACTTGCTGATACAAGGCAACCATGGCTTGGATTGGTCAGAACAGCCCATCCATTGTGACATCATCACATCGTCACTCTACCTGCTGTGACTGCATGGTTATAGATTGTTATGATATGACATTCTATGAGTCACAACAACATTCTATTCCAAAGGACACAGCAGAGAGCAAGTTCTAACCATTATGACATCATAGTTCCAACATTCCGTTTCTAATCCAGAGAGTTTAAAGGGACATTCTCCTGTAGAGGTTCACATCAGCTGTGTCCACACACTGGCTGCTTTCTCACTCTGGTAAAGTGATAGATTGAATGTGAGATTGTAAAAACCAGATTAGTAAGAGCCTTAGTGGTTGTTGTAAAATCAGTTTGTTTTTGTGAGGTAGGACAACCTAATTCAATATGACCAAACTAGTTCAAGTCAACGTTTTAGCTGTTGCACTGTTCACATACAACAGATTTCCCTGTAGTCTTATATACCGTTGAAAGGAATGACATGACATTGAGACCGGATGTGTCATGTAAGAAAGTATATTTTGTCTCCACTGTCTATGAGCGTCGGAGTGAGAGGAAGACATTGAGAGAGAAACAGTTGAACACTTCCTCCTTTCCCTCCTCCTCTTCCTCCTTCCCCTCCTCCTCTTCTTCTCTCTTGCTCCCTCCATTCGGCCACACCTACTCCTGTTCTGAGTCCCACCTCTACTCGCCCTCAGAGAGGCATGGACGCCGGAAACTATGGTCGTCAAGGAAACCATGCCGGTTGTCAAGGAGGCGGTGGCTACGGAGAGCGGACTGCCCCACATTGGGGACAGAGAAGGTGAGCGACGCACACACACACGGACACAACGTGAAACTACAACGTCATTGGACTGGGCTTCTGTGTGACCTCTAACCTCTGAACTCTCTCTTCCTGTTCCTGACAGGAAGTGCCATGGAGCAGCAGCTGGGTGAGGCTGAGGTCAGAGGTCAGACCCTTCCTATGAAGACTTCCTGAAGGACGTGTGTCAGTCGGCTAAACTGGCTGCTTGTCTTCACAGTCCACATAGACGTAGGTACCAGTGGAGGCTGCTGAGGGGAGGACGGCTCATAATAACAGCTGGAATGGAGCCAATGGAACGGCATCAAACACCTGGAAACCATGTGTTTAATGTATTTGATACTCATTCCGCTCCAGCTGTTACCATGAGCCCCTCCTCTCCAATTAAGGTGCCACCAACCTCCTGTGAAAGGTACTAATACACACACACACGTATGCACAACCACACACACACGTATGCACAATCACACACACACCATCACTCATAGATGTAGGTATACCACACCACACCAGACCTGGCACTACTTCACTGGATCTCTGACTCAAAGACAACCTCTCTGCTGTAGGAATTGTGTTTTTGCATCTCCGTTTGGGGGTGCTGCCAGCATAATTATCAAAAGAGAAAGGATATCCCCTCATATTTTTGTCTTATCTTAGTCCAACCACTGGGGAGCGACATAACACCACTGAGCAACCTAGACCAAATTATCTAACACAACTGACACTACATAGGCCTACTAACTAACTACACCAACCTATACCTTAAATCCACTTTACACTTGACCTCTGTGTGTGTGTGTGTGTGTGTGTGTGTGTGTGTGTGTGTGTGTGTGTGTGTGTGTGTGTGTGTGTGTGTGTGTGTGTGTGTGTGTGTGTGTGTGTTTGGTTTTGCTGGTCCCCACAAGGAAAATGGCTAATTTAGGGTTACAGTTAAGGTTAGGGAAAATAGGATTTTGAATGGGAATAAATGTTTTGGTCCCCACAAGGATAGTAAAATAAACGTGTGTGTGTGTAGCGGACTATACCACCTACTCCAGTAGAGAAGAGCATCAAGCAACCCTGAACACTCACCTATACATCAATTACAAACAGTGGTACAACACTATTTCTGAACGCTTCCCTCACCCCAGCTACAAACAGCCCTGGAAGGATCATATTTTTCCCCCAACGCTCACCTTTGGTTTATGGGCTGTTCTGGCTCGGACAAGGCTTACTTAATCACCTTTTGCCTAACGCACTCACTGCTGCTCTATATTTACTGCAAAGAGTCCATCTATAGTTAGGCATAGATTTAAGGGAAGGGGGAAAGCAGTTGTTGTGGTTTAACTGCCTTGCTCAAGGGAAGAACGGCAGATTTTTCCACCTTGCCAGCTCGGGGATTCAAACCAGAGACCTTTCGGTTACTGGCCCAATGCTCTTAACCACTAGGCTACCTGCAGTCCTTAATCCGCAGTGAAGAAAATCTGCGCAATAGCATGATTGAAATGTAAAGGCAATGTTTCCACGTTCGCAGAGATTGCATTCACGGTAAACGCTGCATATGTCGGCTCAATCGGAGATTACCTTTAAATTTCACTCGCACTATAAAGCGGATCTTCAACGCTAGGGATTAAATCCAGCCGCTAGTCAACTTGTCTTTATATATTTTTTACATTTCAGATTTGATTAAGTATTCAGATTTTTGCTTTTGCTTTGAGATAGACAACACAAGCATACTCAATACAAAATATTTTACCTATCCAGCCTTTCTTCCCCTCCATCTCTCTCTCCTGTCATCGTTCTGTCCCCCGTCCCAGGCGTCCCTGGGTGACAGAGTATGCTGATAAATTTGGTTTGCTGACCCGGGCCTTCCCTTCTCGTGTCTCCAGAGGAACCCAACCCTCCATACACTACATGGTCCCTAGTGGGAAAACACTGTGTAGCGAGTTCCAGTCACAATACTATAAGAAGGTGTGTGTGTGTGAGAGAGATGGTCCCTAGTGAAGAAAGCGAAGGTAACTGAACTAAATAACTATCGCTCCGTAGCACCCGCTTCTGTCATCACTACATTTCGGATACCGCCACAACAGATCCACGGGTACCAAGCGCGAATCAGGGTACCAAACGCTACATGATCTGGATCATAAGGGGATATGTGAAAGCACCCTTAGTCACTGTTACTAGCCGGCTACTCTACCCTGCACCTTAGAGACTGCTGCCCTATGTACATAGTCATTGAACACTGGTCACTTTAATAATGTTTGCATACTGTTTTACCCACTTCATATGTATATACTGTATTCTAGTCAAGGCTCACCCTATATAACTACTGCTGTACACCTTTTTTTATTTTTTTATTCATTTACAGTCTATACCAATAAACTTTGATGAGAGTGAGAGACTGCATTGAATACTATAGCCCTTGATCATAACTCTCAGTTCCATTACATTACACATAAGAGTCATTGGACGAAGGCGTCTTCTGTAGGGGGGAGTTTTGTAAAGAGCCCCCACGCTTGGGGTCTGAACATTAACACGCATCATTTGCGGTACGGTTTTGGAAACACAAGGACCTTATCTTTAATATCAGCGAGAAATAATTGTCAAAAAACAAAAAGGTTAAATTGAGACACACCTTTATAGGGTTAGGGCTCCCACCTGGTCATATTTCCATGTTACAGTGCTTGTTTACAGAAAACAGACTGAAGACTGGACTACCTGTTAGCTCTCTGCATCTCCGAACACCTGTGTTTTAAACGGAAGACTGATGCCACAAACGTGTTGTTACTGAAAAATACTGTCGGCTGCAACTGTGTTAAAACAGTGTAGAGGAAGTGTGACATGAAAGTACAGGGATTTACAGTGGGGGAAAAAAAGTATTTAGTCAGCCACCAATTGTGCAAGTTCTCCCACTTAAAATGATGAGAGAGGCCTGTAATTTTCATCATAGGTACACGTCAACTATGACAGACAAAATGAGAAAAAAAAATCCACAAAATCACATTGTAGGATTTTTAATGAATTTATTTGGAAATTATGGTGGAAAATAAGTATTTGATCAATAACAAAAGTTTCTCAATACTTTGTTATATACCCTTTGTTGGCAATGACACAGGTCAAACGTTTTCTGTAAGTCTTCACAAGGTTTTCACACACTGTTGCTGGTATTTTGGCCCATTCCTCCATGCAGATCTCTAGAGCAGTGATGTTTTGGGGCTGTCGCTGGGCAACACAGACTTTCAACTCCCTCCAAAGATTTTCTATGCGGTTGAGATCTGGAGACTGGCTAGGCCACTCCAGGACCTTGAAATGCTTCTTACGAAGCCACTCCTTCGTTGCCCGGGCGGTGTGTTTGGGATCATTGTCATGCTGAAAGACCCAGCCACGTTTCATCTTCAATGCCCTTGCTGATGGAAGGAGGTTTTCACTCAAAATCTCACGATACATGGCCCCATTCATTCTTTCCTTTACACGGATCAGTCGTCCTGGTCCCTTTGCAGAAAAACAGCCCCAAAGCATGATGTTTCCACCCCCATGCTTCACAGTAGGTATGGTGTTCTTTGGATGCAACTCAGCATTCTTTGTCCTCCAAACACGACGAGTTGAGTTTTTACCAAAAAGTTATATTTTGGTTTCATCTGACCATATGACATTCTCCCAATCCTCTTCTGGATCATCCAAATGTACTCTAGCAAACGTCAGACGGGCCTGGACATGTACTGGCTTAAGCAGGGGGACACGTCTGGCACTGCAGGATTTGAGTCCCTGGCGGCGTAGTGTGTTAATGATGGTAGGCTTTGTTACTTTGGTCCCAGCTCTCTGCAGGTCATTCACTAGGTCACCCCGTGTGGTTCTGGGATTTTTGCTCACCGTTCTTGTGATCATTTTGACCCCACAGGGTGAGATCTTGCGTGGAGCCCCAGATCGAGGGAGATTATCAGTGGTCTTGTATGTCTTCCATTTCCTAATAATTGCTCCCACAGTTGATTTCTTCAAACCAAGCTGCTTACCTATTGCAGATTCAGTCTTCCCAGCCTGGTGCAGGTCTACAATTTTGTTTCTGGTGTCCTTTGACAGCTCTTTGGTCTTGGCCATAGTGGAGTTTGGAGTGTGACTGTTTGAGGTTGTGGACAGGTGTCTTTTATACTGATAACAAGTAGGTGACCAAATACTTATTTTCCACCATAATTTGCAAATAAATTCATAAAAAATCCTATAATGTGATTTTCTGGATTTTCTTTCCTCTATTTGTCTGTCATAGTTGACGTGTACCTATGATGAAAATTACAGGCCTCTCTCATCATTTTAAGTGGGAGAACTTGCACAATTGGTGGCTGACTAAATACTTTTTTTCCCCCACTGTATGTTTCTAGAACCGTACCGCAATTGAGAATCGATTCACGTTTATCTGGAGTATTTGGCTGTTTTTGGCTTCCAGGGCCAATTCACCTTTAAACGGAACGTGTAAGGTCCTTGGACTATGGAGTAACGTTAGGCTCCCTTTAGTCCATTGTTGGGCTAGGACTACCAGTCACAGGAATAAGGTACCAGCGGGAGTGTGTGTGTGTTTATGAGGCTAACTAACTATGGTACGAAAGTGTTTGTCCCTTTTTGTTGGCCTGGTATCAAACACAGTGCCACTTCTCTGTTGTCGCGTGCCTGCACTGCACGTCACGATACTGAACACGGAGTAGCGTCTCAGAGAAGTAGCAACATGGGAAATATCATACTGTTCCTAGTAACACACACCATGATAGTGTCCCAAATGGCACCCTATTCCCTATATAGTGCACTACTTCAGACCAGAGTTCTATGGACTAGTGAATAGGGTGCCATTTCAGACGCAAAACCCATCCGTTTCTTCTTCATCCTCCTCTTCCTCACCAGACTCCCATGTCCCGCCCCAGGACCTGTCAAGGATACCGCCAGAACACCAGCCGCTGACCCAACAGCCTTCATCCTCCTCTACCTCACCTTATCTTCATCCTCTTTATAGTTGAATCAGTTTTCTTTATCTCAACCAATTTTTTCTACAGCAAATTATCACAAATAAACCGTCAGGAAAAAAAAACATATCCCTTCGTCTGTCGTTTGAAATTACGTTATTGTCCCGAAGTTACACATGCAATATAAAAGAACCATGGCTGTTCCTCAATACATTTCTCCTTAAACCTTTGGAATCATTCCTAAACCCATCTGTTGTACATGCATCTAGTGGTGTAGAGCAGAGCTCTACATAGTCACTTTACCCCTACCTACATGTACAAATTATCTCGACTAACCTGTACCCCAGCACATTGACTCGGTACAGGTACCCCCTGTATATAGCCTCATAGTTTTTTAAATACTTTATTTAGTAACTATTTTCTTTAAACTGCATTGTTGGTTAAGGGCTTGTAAGAATTTCACGGTAAGGTCTACACCTGTTGTATTCGGCGCATGTGATTCAAATCATATTTTATTAGTCACAACAGACAAACACCAGACATTTACCTGCATCTTTCCTCCCTCCCTCTCCCTCCTGCCTTTGAGAAATAACTCATAACAAGTTGACAAAGACAACAACAAGACGTTTACCTGCAGTTTTTCATCTTTATTCCTCTTTTTTGTAATGAAATTCATACTTTGTGTCGTCAGGACTTTTTCCAACTCAAAATCACAAAAAGATTTTAATGTAAATCCACCTGGCGGACAATTCTTATTGGTTGACCCAGCGTGCACATGGCCTGTGGTCAGTCAACCTGACCTCAAGTCCCACCCATTCATTAAAACCTCCCCTAGACACTGAGCTAAAGTAAGATTAGTGTGAGTGAATCTCAAATGGCACCCTAATGCCCATGTAGTGCACTACTTTAGAACAGGGACCCTTGGTAGCCCTATGGGCCCTGATCAAAAGTAGTGCACTACATAAAAGGGAATAGGGTGCCATTTGGGACGCGTCCCATTCCCGTTTTTGACCACAGGCTATGGCAACCCAAGAGAGACAAAACACCTTGCTCCTCGAAAGACAAAATAAATGAGATTGATTTTTAACAGAGCCTGATCAGGTGTTACTCAACAATATTGAACCAACAGAGTTCAACATGATGCTTCCATTCTTTCAGTACTGAGAGAGGCCGCGTCCCAAAATGGAACCTTATTCCCTATTTAATGCACTACTTTTCATCTGTGCCCATAAAGGTTCTGATTTATAGTAGAGCACTGTATGGGGAACAGGGTGCCATTTGAGATGCAAGCCACAGAGAACAGCCTTGTTCCAAACACTAATACCCTAACCCCTACACCCTTGTTCACTTAGACCCATCAAAAGGGTGACACCTCAAATGATACCCTGCTCCCCATACATCCCTGCCTTTCAGAGCTCCAGGTTCTGATATGGGGAATAGAACCTCAACCTTTTCACCCACAAAGGTAGGAGAGAGGAGAAACTGGTTTGGAACCAGACCCATGAGAAATAAAAAAAAAACAGCTCTACACAGACAGAGAGTTTATGATGTAATAAATGGGGAAATTAGGCAGGTCAATAGGTCGTTGATAACGTCACAATACGGCGCAGAGCGTTGGATTTGGCTGCTCGGGGGGGGCAAGGAGACCTCCAGCTCCGTTAAACCTGTTGACAACTATGTGCCATTTGAGGGATTGTTAAATCAATGTTATAAACAGGGATGGTCCCCTGTGGCTCAGTTTGTAGAGCATGGTGCTTGCAACGCCAGGGTTGTGGGTTCCATTCCCACGGGGGGGGGGGGCAGTATGAAACATTTATGCACTCACTTAACTGTAAGTCGCTCTGGATAAGAGCGTCTGCTAAATGACTGTAATAACTGTTTATCACCTCTTGAAGAGCGTAGTCAGAGTTATACAGCGAGTAACTGCATGCTTTCATGATCAATAAACATCCATTGATCATGTATTTTCAGATATGAGAGTAGCCCATTCATTTGGCATGTAGCTAACTAGATAGCCAAGCAAACAACATATCATTTAGCTTGCTTCAGAGATTAGGCTTTTGGAAAGAGCTTGACGTCGGCAAGTCCTCCTCTTGGTAAAGTGGACTATGGTCACCACCACTAGAGGACAAGCAAATCAAACAATATATGGATAGAGCCATCTAGTGTATCCCCTGAAAGTTAGCTTGTTAGCTAGCCACATAGACGTGATCTGTCGTTAGCTAGCCACATTGACGTGATCTGTCGTTAGCTAGCCACATAGACGTGATCTGTCGTTAGCTAGCCACATTGACGTGATCTGTCGTTAGCTAGCCACATAGACGTGATCTGTCGTTAGCTAGCCACATAGACGTGATCTGTCGTTAGCTAGCTACATTGACGTGATCTGTCGTTAGCTAGCCACATTGACGTGATCTGTCGTTAGCTAGCTACATTAACGTGATCTGTCGTTAGCTAGCCACACTGACGTGATCTGTCGTTAGCTAGCCACATTGACGTGATCTGTCGTTAGCTAGCCACATAGACGTGATCTGTCGTTAGCTAGCTACATTGACGTGATCTGTCGTTAGCTAGCTACATTGACGTGATCTGTCGTTAGCTAGCTACATTGACGTGATCTGTCGTTAGCTAGCTACATTGACGTGATCTGTCGTTAGCTAGCCACACTGACGTGGTACATCAATCAATGTTGCCTCTATCACGTCTTTCAGCAGCAATAGTGATTAAAACACTGTTGTAGAGGGGATAATGCTAGCTAACTTCGCTGTAGGCCTAAGTTGGTTGGAGAAAAAAGTACATTAGGTCTACTTACCACTATATGTTTAGCCAACTGTACAAAGTTTCTACCGGTAGCTTGCATTATCAGCTAACAGTACATCTGCAAATGCGCCCTTCTGCTGCTTGACAAGCAGAGCCCACAAAGGATGGGAAATTCACCTGAACCACTCGTCCTTGTCAGGTATAGGTCACTTTTCTATCACTCAAATATCCAATCAATGGTGGTCAATATTGAGAGATATCGTGAAGGCTACCCTCTCGTATCTGAAATTCCATGATCAATTGATGTTTACTGATCATGAAAAGCATGCAGTTACTGTATAACTGATGATAGAGCTAAATATGGAATAATCTGACCTTTGTAGTTTTGACTATGTGCTTCAAGAGGTGATGATATTACAACCAAATAGTTAGCATTTATTTAACAATCCCTTGAAAACGACACACAGTTGTCAATGGTTTTAGTGGAGCTGGGGTTCTCCTTGCCCCCTCAGCAGGCAAATCGAACGCTTTGGACCGTATTGTGACATTTTATTGATAACGACCTATAGAACAGAGAAATGATGATGTCATATTGTGACCAGAGGTACGTAGATGTACAGAGTTCTAGAACGGACAACTGTCTGTCATCCATGGCACTAAGAACATTCTTAGTTGGATTCCAATTAGAATGGTAATGTTGTGGAACATTCCGGCACAAACATGGCAGCCATGAAAAGTATAAATGCCGATCTCAAAATGGCACCCTATTCCCTATGTAGTGCACTACTTTGGACCAGGTAGTGCACTATAAGGTGGAACAGGGTGTCATCTGTGATTCGCCTGTTGCGTTATCATGGAGCTTTTAGGTGCCAACATGGCAACCATGAAAAGTCGGAAAATCTCAAACAGAGTTTCCCATTTCTCTGTATATGTACGTCTCGGTGTGCGTCCGAAAAGGCACCCTATTCCCTATGGACTCAAGCCCATGGGCCCTGGTCAAAAGTAGTGCACTACATAGGGTATAGGGTACCATTTGAGACTCAGCCTCTAGAGTGTAAATGGAGCAGCAGCTCCCTCCTTAGGGTTCTGTTCGTACTGACCCCTCCCTCCTCCCCCCCCCCCACCCAACCTCCCCCCAACCTGTCCCTTAGTTTACCATCAAACAAACAGAAACTAAAAAGAAGTCCCCCCCCCCACCCTCTTACGGATTTCTACCTACACGCCTTGGACCTGTGTGTGTTGTTCGGTGTGTGTGTTCCGGTCGAGGCCGCCAGAGTCTCTGCAAGCGTGTGTGTGTGGGCGCTCCCTGGGGGTGAGGGGGACTCCTAGTATTTCACTCCTGGAACGAACTCCTTCGCATCGGGGTTCAAGTTGCTCTTCCTCTGCAGGGAGAGAGATGGAGGGATAATGAGATGGAGTGATAATGAGATGGATGGATAATGAGATGGAGGGATAATGAGATGGATGGAGGGATAATGAGATGGAGACGGATGGAGGGATAATGAGATGGAGACGGATGGAGGGATAATGAGATGGAGTGATAATGAGATGGAGGGATAATGAGATGGAGGGATAATGAAATGGAGGGATAATGAGATGGAGGGATGGAGGAGTGGAGGGATGGCATGATTAAGAAAAGAAGAGAAAATAAAGTGTGAGAACCATTAAATTGTACAAAACAAATTCACAAACACACAGCCATCTTGTGATGTTATAATATATATGTATGTGTCTTAATGGAGGCTGCTGAGGGGAGGACGGCTCATAATAATGTGTGGAACGGAGCAAATGGAATGGCATCAAACACACAGAAACCAACCTCCTGTGGTGTGTATGTATGTATATATACAGTACCAGTCAAAAGTTTGGACACGCCTACTCATTCAAGGGTTTTTCTTTATTTTTACTATTTTCTACATTGTAGAATAATAGTGAAGACATCAACACTATGAAATAACACATATGGAATCATGTAGTAACCAAAAAAGTGTTAAACAAATGAAAATATATTTTAAAATGTGAGATTCTTCAAATAGCCACCCTTTGCCTTGATGACAGCTTTGCACACTCTTGGCATTCTCTCAACCAGCTTCATGAGGTAGTCACCTGGAATGCATTTCAATTAACAGGTGTGCCTTCTTAAAAAGTTAATTTGTGGAATTTATTTCCTTCTTAATGCGTTTGAGCCAATCAGTTGTGTTGTGACAAGGTAGGGGGGGTATACAGAAGATGGTCTTTTACCAAATAGGGCTAAGTCCATATTATGGCAAGAACAGCTCAAATAAGCAAAGAGAAACGACAGTCCATCATTACTTTAAGACATGAAGGTCAGTCAATACGGAACATTTCAAGAACTTTGAACGTTTCTTCAAGTGCAGTCGCAAAAACCATCAAGCGCTATGATGAAACTGGCTCTCATGAGGACCGCCACAGGAATGGAAGACCCAGAGTTACTTCTGCTGCAGAGGATAAGTTCATTAGAGTTACCAGCCTCAAAAATGGCAGCCCAAATAAATGCTTCAGAGTTCAAGTCACAGACACATCTCAACATCAACTGTTCAGAGGAGACTGCGTGAATCAGGCCTTCATGGTCGATTTGCTGCAAAGAAACCACTACTAAAGGACACCAATAATAAGAAGAGACCTGCTTGGGCCAAGAAACAGGAGCAATGGACATTAGACCGGTGGAAATTTGTCCTTTGGGCTGGAGTCCAAATGGGAGATTTTTGGTTCAAACCGCCGTGTCTTTGTGAGACGCGGTGTGGGTGAACGGATGATCTCCGCATGTGTAGTCCCCACCGTAAAGCATGGAGGAGGTGGTGCTATGGTGTGGGGGTGCTTTGCTGGTGACACTGTCTGTGGTTTATTTAGAAATCAAAGCACACTTAACCAGCATGGCTACCACAGCATTCTGCAGCGATACGCCATCCCATCTGGTTTGCGCTTAGTGGGACTATCCTTTGTTTTTCAACAGGACAATGACCCAACACACCTCCAGGCTGTGTAAGGGCTATTTTACCAAGAAAGAGAGTGATGGAGTGCTGCATCAGAAGACCTGGCCTCCACTATCACCCGACCTCAACCCAATTGAGATGGTTTGGGATGAGTCGGACCTCAGAGTGAAGGAAATAGCAGCCAACAAGTGCTCAGCATATGTGGGAACTCCTTCAAGACTGTTGGAAAAGCATTCCAGGTGAAGCAGGTTGAGAGAATGCCAAGAGTGTGCAAAGCTGTCATCAAGGCAAAGGGTGGCTACTTTGAAGAATCTAAAATATAAAATATATTTTGATTTGTTTAACACTTTCGGATACTACATGATTCCATGTGTTATTTCATAGTTTTGATGTCTTCACTATTATTCTACAATGTAGAAAATAGTAAAAATAAAGAAAACCCCTTGAATGAGTAGGTGTGTCAACTGTTGACTGGTACTGTATGTGTACATACATAAATACATTATACCATCACAAGATGGCTGTCCATTGTTGTACATAATACGGTGTGTGTGTGTGTTCCGCTGTATCTCCTCACCGCCATCTCCTCTGCGTTTCCTCCGTCGCTGACTGACAGGCCGTTGAGTTGCTGCTGGATCTGACCCACCCCCGAGGGGAGGTCCCTGGCCGGGATGAACCAATCCTGGTCCTCCTCGTCCAACATCTCCTGGAAACAACGCTCCAAGAACTCCTGCTCCAACAACTCCTCTTCAACCTGACGGAGAGAGAAGAAGGTTCAGTATCTACACTATATACACAAAAGTATGTGGACACCCCTTCAAATTAGTGGATTCGGCTATTTCAGCCACACCCGTTGCTGACAGGTGTATAAAAAAAAAATTCGAGCACACAGCCATGCAATCTCCATAGACAAACATTGGCAGTAGAATGGCCTTACTGAAGAGCTCAGTGACTTTCAACGTGGCACCGTCATAGGATGCCACCTTTCCAATAAGTCAGTGTGTCAAATTTCTGCCCTGCTAGAGCTGCCCCGGTCAACTGTAAGTGCTGTTATTGTGAAGTGGCAAAGCGATAGGCCACACAAGCTCACAAAACGGGACCGCTGAGTGCTGAAGCGTGTAGCGCGTAAAAATTGTCTGTCCTCGGATGCAACACTCACTACAGAGTTCCAAACTGCCTCTGGAAGCAACGTCAGCACAATAACTGTTCGTTGGGAGCGTCATGAAATGGGTTTCCATGGCCGAGCAGCCGCACACAAGCCTGAGATCACCATGCGCAATGTCAAGCGTCGGCTGGAGTGGTGTAAAGCTCGCCGCCATTGGACTCTGGAGCAGTGGAAATGCGTTCTCTGGAGTGATGAGTCACCCTTCAACATCTGGCAGTCCGACGGACAAATCTGTGTTTGGCGGATGCCAGGAGAACGCTACCCGAATGCATAGTGCCAACTGTAAAGTTTGATGGAGGAGGAATAATGGTCTGGGGCTGTTTTTCTTGGTTCGAACTAGGCCCCTTGGTTCCAGTGAAGGGAAATCTTAACGCTACAGCATACAATTACATTCTAGACAATTCTGTGCTTCCAACTTTGTGGCAACCGTTTGGGGAAGGCCATTTCCTGTTTCAGCATGACAATGCCGCCGTGCACAAAGCGAGGTCCATACAGAAATGGTTTGTCGAGATCGGTGTGGAAGAACTTGACTGACCTGCACAGAGCCCAGACCTCAACCCCATCGAACACCTTTGGGATGAATTGGAACGCCGACTGCGAGCCAGGCCTAATCACCCAACATCACTAATGCTCGTCCCTGCACCAATGTTCCAACATCTAGTGGAAAGCCTTCCCAGAAGAGTGGAGGCTGTTATAGTAGCAAAGGGGGGGGACCAACTCCGTATTAATGGCCAGGAATTTGGAATGAGGTGTTCGACGAGCAGGTGTCCACATACTTTTGGTCATGTAGTGTAGAGGGAGGGAGGGAGGGAGGGAGGGAGGGAGGGAGGGGAGAGAGAGAGAGCGAAACAATGCTTCAGGAACTCCTCTTCAGACCAGACACTGGTAGTAGTTGTAGCAGTAGTAGTAGTTAAGTAGCGTTGTAGCAGTAGTGCTAGCAAGAAATAGTAGAGTACAGTGGGTAGTAGTATAGTAGTAGAAGTAGCAGTAGTCAGTAGAGTAGCAGTAGTAGCAGTAGTAGTAGTAGTAGTAGTAGTAGTAGTAGTAGTATAGTAGTAGTAGTAGTAGTAGTGTAGTAGCAGTGAGCCAGTCTAGAAAGGAAAGGAGGGGAGCGAGAGCAGGAGATGAGACATCCTCATTACACAACACACACACACAGAGAGAGAGAGAGAGAGACAGACAGAAACAGACAGAGAATGGTGCGTGGTTGGATTCCACCTCTAAAGAGTTTCCTCTTGATAAGACAGACATCAAGCAGACACATCTGGGACTAACTGTCTGTGTTGTGTGTCTCTGTGTGTGTGTCTCTGTGTGTGTGTGTGTGTTCTGTCTCTGTGTGGTCTGTCTCTGTGTGTGTTCTCTGTGTGTGTGTGTCTCTGTGTGTGTATCTGTCTCTGTGTGTGTGTGTCTCTGTGTGTGTGTATCTGTGTCTCTGTGTCTGTGTCTGTCTCTGTTTGTGTGTGTGTGTGTCTGTGTGTGTCTCTGTGTGTGTGGGTCTGTCTGTCTCTGTGTGTCTCTGTGTGTGTCCACCAACCTGTCTGTTGTAAACATCCTCGTTCTCCATCCACATGTACTCAGCAAAGGGATCGTCTCCTCCCTGCTCGCCCTCTCCCGGATGCCCATTTGCTATGGGCTCCTTGCCTTCCTTCCCCGGAGCCCCGCCCCCCGGCGTCTTCACTACCTCGGGACCACTCATCTCCGACGGCTCTGATGGGACCGGAGATGAAGATTCATGGTTACACACAAACACACACACAACGCTTCCTGTTTGATTTCCTTGGTACTTCTGAGTAGTACTGGTATTGTGACAACCCAAAATGTATTTTGGCATTGGCTGGTAGAATCTCTATTCTTACCTGCCACATTGTCTGATGGTCACACAGAGCATTTGGGAGCAGTTTTCTTGCTTGGCTATATGCATGGTGCAATATGTTAAAATATTGTACTAATATGTTATTGGGCAAATTTTTCCCCCATTCATTTTTTGAGTACAATGTCCTTTTAAAAAGTCACCAGAACTGAGCTTCTCAGTCATTTTACATTTACATTTTAGTCATTTAGCAGACGTTCTTATCCAGAGCAACTTACAGTTAGTGAGTGCATACATTATTATTATTATTTTATTTTTTCATACTGGCCCCCCGTGGGAATCGAACCCACAACCCTGGCGTTGCAAACGCCATGCTCTACCAACTGAGCTACATCCCTGCCGGCCATTCCCTCCCCTACCCTGGACGACGCTGGGCCAATTGTGCGCACTAGAGAGCCTGGATTCGAACCAGGATCTCTAGTGGCACAGCTAGCACTGCGCCACTCGGGAGATTAATTCATAAATAATTATCCGGGGGGGGGGACCCGAACCCCCTCACATTTTTCCCTGACTGCTACAAATTTTTCCGGAGGAAACACTGAACCCTACAGTCTACCTCCACCTATAAACCTAAATAGGCCAATTTGCTAAACATCACATTCACACACAGCCTGAGAAACACAGGCAGGCAGTATTGCAGGCGTTGACAAAAGCAACACTATAGACAAACAGCATCCATAAAGATATGCAACACACACAATAGAGCACCATAACATAATTCACAGGCCTCGTTTTACCTTTAGAACGGTGCCAAATGACACCAGGACTGTACAGATTATAAAATCATTCACTAACTTAAGCACAGCAGACAGACTGTCTGGTAGATCAAGGAATGAAGTAGCCAGGCCAGGGATTGACGTTAAAGGAAAGGTTGCACGATATATATATATTCCACAAATCTAACAACGTAGGTCTTTATGCAAAAGCTTATAAAAAATAATGCTTGATAAACAACAGGTGTAGACTAACAGTGAAGTGTTTACTTACGGCCCGTCCCAACAATACAGAGAGAAATAATAGAAAAATAATAATGTAATGATAACTTGGCTATATATATATATATATACACGTGGTACCAGTACCAAGTCAATGTGCAGGGGTAAGAGGTAATTGAGGTAGACATGTACATATAGGTAGGGTAGCTCAGCTGGTAGAGCACGGCGCTTGTAACGCCAAGGTAGTGGGTTCGATCCCCGGGACCACCCATACACAAAAAAAAAATTATGCACGCATGACTGTAAGTCGCTTTGGATAAAAGCATCTGCTAAATGGCATATTATATTATTATTATTATAATAAAGTGACTAGGCAACGGGTTAGATAAAAGCAGCTATTGGTTAACTATTTAACTAACTATTTAGCAGTCTTATAGCTTGGGGGTAGAAACTGTTCAGGGTTCTGTTGGTTCCAGACTTGGTGCATCGGTACCACTTGCCATGCTGTAGCAGAGAGAACAGTCTATGACTTGGGTGGCTGGAGTCTTAGAAAAGTTTTAGGGCCTTCCTCTGACACCACCTGGTATAGAGGTCCTGGATGGCAGGAAGCTTGGCCCCAGTGATGTACTGGGCTGTACGCACTACCCTCTGTAGCACCTTGCGGTCGGATGCCAAGCAGTTGCCATACCAGGCAGTGATGCAACCAGTCAAGATGCTCTCGATGGTGCAGCTGTAGAACTTTTTGAGGATCTGAGGGCCCATACCGAATCTTTTCAGCCTCCAAAGGGGGAAGAGGTGTTGTCGTGCCCTCTTCACAACTGTGTTTATGTGTGTGGACCATGAAGTTCCTTAGTGATGTGGACACCAGCTTTCTAAGTGCACCGGGCTATGCAAAACCAACTGGCCCACTCGGATCTAGCATGGTGTTTGGGGATGGAATAAGCTAGCTATAGCAAGCAAGCTACAACAACTCCATCAATGCTGCACATTTTGCAGAAATGAATGGTCAAAAACCAAATTGGATGAATGTCATTGTTTATTTCAAGCTGTCTTTATTTTTGCTGAACTGCCTGGTCCTTATTGACCAATATAACTTGCAGGATATCATGGTAGACAATGTTTGTGTTAGCCATTATACCTGGATTTACTCTTATTGCTGCTAGTAACGTTAGCATTCAGGTTAGCATGTGGCTAGCTATAGCTACCATTGGCCAACAACAGAGTTTTAGCCAGTTTGGTTTTAGACGTTCAATGTCTACTGTGATGATAAAGGTGTATCTTGATTTTGTGTAACAGTACGAGAAACGCTGATGTGCTGAACTGCTAATAAGTGATGTTTCAAGGTTGCTAGTGGTTAGCTAGTAGGGGTAAGCCAGCAGGGCTGGAAAGGGGGCTATGCTAAAAGCCTGCGTGCTGTAGTGATGAAAACATTTTTAGTTGATACAGAATAAAGAAATCACAGGATATGGTCAGATTATAATTTGGCTTTATTCAGTGGCAAAATATTTTTTCTAAAACAATGATGTGGGTCTTCAGCATCTTATGTGGACAGTGGCTTCACTCCTGCTGTGTGTTCTTCTATTGACGTCACTTTTCCCAACGCTTTTCCGACATGACTTCGGTCAAATTCAGACAAAATATAAAATTTTGCCCAAAATACAAATGTAAAGTGATATGTCGTATTGGGACTTTTAGTTGGAAGGATGAAACCAATCAGAATGTTTAACAGCAACCTAATTATGCAATCTTCCCTTTAAGGTCTGGAAGGAGTCTTTTTTTGGTTGCCCAACGATTATGATCCCTTGCCCAAAAACATAAAGTAGCTATATTCACCTACACACAGGGGAAGAACCAGAAAGACCAGACTAGTGGAATTATTTGCATTTTGGTTTGTATCAGAAAGAGAAAGAAAATCACCTGCCCAATGGGGCAACAACAAAGCAGGTTCATGAGCGACTGCTCATGTCGGGCAATAGGGCTTCCCTTAATATATCAATCCCTGAGCCATGTCTAGAATGTTAGAACAGTGGTTCAAGCGTCATACTGATTTCAGTTAAATAAGGCTGAATCTAACAAGCTCCATACTGATTTCAGTTAAATAAGGCTGAATCTAACAAGCTCCATACTGATTTCAGTTAAATAAGGCTGAATCTAACAAGCTCCATACTGATTTCAGTTAAATAAGGCTGAATCTAACAAGCGTCATACTGATTTCAGTTAAATAAGGCTGAATCTAACAAGCTCCATACTGATTTCAGTTAAATAAGGCTGAATCTAACAAGCTCCATACTGATTGTGTTTGTGAGTTTTTTTTAAACGTAATTTAGCAGACGCTCTTATCCAGAGCGACTTACAGCTAGTGACTGCATACATTCTTTTTTTTATACTAGCCCCCCGTGGGAATCGAACCCACAACCCTGGCGTTACAAACGCCATGCTCTACCAACTGAGCTACATGGGACTTCAGTTAAATAAGGCTGAATCTAATAAGCTCCGTACTGATTTCAGTTAATAGTTAAATAAGGCTGAATCTAACATTGAGATAAGCACTCATAATAAAGAAAGTAAAAAGGTAAAGGCTCATTATACTTTTCATACATTGATGTAAATAGTAACTGTATGAGGTGTGATCGGATTGGGATGTTACATTAGAATGTGGACCAACGCGTGGACTGTGTAGTCCATCAGTTAGTGACGCGGACCCCTGACTCACAATATAGGTTACCTTTCCTTTCTCAATAAAATAAAACCCAACAAATACAAATAATTTGGACCAGTGTCGTCAGAACACAGTTCAACCACAGGTGGATAATGGAAAGTATAGTCCCCGCTGAGAAGCAGTTTATCGATCCGTTTCCTGCATTATATATACACACACACCTCTACATTAGCTAGCTTTCTACTGTACTGCAGTGCAGTGTAGGACAATTTGCTAACGTCACAAATGAAACCACGTGTGTTTTCTTTATTTAGCGATCAACAATGCCAAGATAGCACACCTGTGTATGGAATAGCAACAGTGTATTTCTAGCTGGTTTGCCATCACTGGTAAATATAGCTAGTCTGATGCTATTTGTATTGGGGTCAACGTGTTGTCACGGTGTTGTTGTGTAACTTATTAACCACGCCGCATGCAGGGAGGGGCTTGCTCGTGTATGTATACTCTGAAAAATGTAAACAAGTTATTAACCATTGGCAATCAGCTGGTTATTTTCGGCCTTGTTAAAAGCTTAATTCTGCTAAAAACAAATCTTATACAAGGCGGTTTAGCTATAGGTTTGTGGTGATGGATTTAACGATAGCTAACGTTGGCTACATCAACCTGCCTTCTATTGCTATCTGGCTAATAAACCAGTTTCACACCTTACCAAAACCGCTACCTAGCTAAGAATCTGAGACAAAGGTGGCTTAACAACATCAAGGTTGGTTGCAACAGGCCGCAACTGAAGTGATGACATAACGACAACTACACATGAAATTAGCGCGCTAGCTAGCTAGCTGTTAAAAGGATTGGGAGGGCTTAGCAAGGTAATACTAGCTGGCTAGCTACAACATGCTACCACCATCATGGATGGGCCTACAAGGAAAACATAACGGAACACTAGCTAAAAGAGTTAGCTAACTAACGGTCACGAAAAAAAAAAGTTTTGACGGTGAACATATTTTGAAACGGCTGTTCTAAAACGCATTTCCTAAAAATATGGAACAATCGCAATTTGAAATTCTAGAATTCCAGAACGCAACGCTAACAATAGGTTGGAGTTCCATTCCCATCTGGATTGATGCGTCAGAGACACAACTAGCTAGCTAGGCTAACTAAACTAGCCAGCTAGGCTAACTAAACTAGCCAGCTGGCATCGCTAGCTAGGTCAGTGCATGGCATTTCGCACAGGAATCGGGCCAAGACGCAATATTCAGTTTTCAAATACTTGGCTGTGAAATCCACGTAAAAACTGACGGCGTGTGTTCTAAAGTCATACCTGGCATCCCCTGCTTTAGTGTTACTTCTTCAAACCGACAAAATAAAAAATAAACGTATTTCCAACACACTCGTAGGCTAGCTAACAGCTAAATACATTAGGAACACGGTGGTCATGTGGTCTGGGCTTGAACAAACATCCAACAAGCGTCCTCCCCAAAACACACACTTGCATGGCTAACATTAAAGCTAGTGGACTGTAAAGTCAGCGGGATGTATATGTTGAACATTAAATAGAAACATTAAGGTATAGCGGACACTTAAGAAACGTTTTTGTACTGGTGAAAAAATGTATACATCATAGCTTGCGAGTCCTTCTTGTGACATTTTCTTTTGTGGCTAACTAGTAGCAGAGTAAACAGTGCTTAACAGACAAGTGCGAGTGTTTTGAGAAGCTCGCCAACTACCTATATCCTTTATCGTTAGCTAGCTAGCTTTATTTTGATATTCAACAGTCAACCAAAGCGAACGATACGGGCTTTCCAAGTTCAGATTGAAAACACAGCCACAGCTGTTAGCAAATTACGAAAGCCGCTAACCTATAAATAGCTAACGTTACTCACCAACCAAGTTGAAATGTGGTAAACAAACCCCGTAGTAAAAACTAAACGGCAGCTCGTATGAAAGCGGCTCCTCAATTCCCGAAAGAACCCCAGAACAAAACAATTTAACACATCCGATTTTAAGATTCGTAAATATGTGTCTTTGTCCGTTTTTCCCCGTTATAATCCATAGAGAGAGAGAGCCTCGAAAATCACGATTTGTGCCACAACCGCGAGCCAGGAAAACGGTCACGTGGTACCGATTGTCCAACGGTACACACCGACTATTGGTGGGATCGGGCATCAGTCAACTCCTTTTACTGACATCACTGGTATAGAGTAAAACAAGAAACAGCCCCCTTTTCATTCACAGACCGAATAAAAAAACAAAGTACAATCTGGTAAAGTAGGGCATACATACAGTCATTGGCAGGCTACCCATTATTTATTCCCTACCCTAATAGTATTCCTAGTGCCTTTATACGATTTGTCAAGTTCATTATTTAATGGTCCTGGTCTAAACTGTGACACATTCCATATCCACAAGTACTGTCATGACTAATCCTTTCAGAAGTCCACAGCGCAATAGGATTATTGTGATTGTCCAAGAGAGGAGAGGAAGAAAGTATATTCAAGACTATTGAGATTTTGCTAATGGCAGTGGTTGAGATGCATTATCTTTAACACTCAGCAGAGGGCGCCACAAACACATATTTTGAGAGCATGAGGTGTGTGCGTGTGTGTGTGTGTGTGTGTGTGTGTGTGTGTGTGTGTGTGTGTGTGTGAGAGAGCGAGAGAACACTTTATGGAACACAAAGCCTTCACTATCTCATCCTGGAATATCCCAGGCCTGAGGTCATCTGCCTTTGGCCTGAAGAGCAGGAACCTGGACTTCACCAAAGAAATCAGAAATACAGACATTGTCATCCTTCAAGAAACATGGTATAGAGGAGATGGACCCACTGGTTGCCCTCTAGGTTACAGAGAGCTGGTAGTCCCATCGACCAAACTACCAGGAGTAAAACAGGGAAGAGACTCAGGGGGTATACTAATTAGGTATAGAGCAGACCTAACCCACTCTATTAAATTAATAAAAACAGGAACATTTTACATTTGGCTAGAAATTCAAAAGGAAATGACCTCAAAAGAGAAAAATGTCCTCCTGTGTGCTACCTATATCCCCCATTAGAATCCCCATACTTTAATGAAGATACTTTAATGAAGACATTATCAATTACAAATCTTAGAATCAGCTATTAAAGACTAACAGAACCCACTGGATTCTCCAATGACATTGAATGAACTACAGGACAAAATACCAACCCTCCAACCCCAAAAGGCCTGTGGTGTTGATGGTATCCTCAATGAAATGATCAAATATACAGACCACAAATTCAAATTGGCTATACTTAAACTTTTTAACATCATCCTCAGCTCTGGCATCTTCCACAATATTTGGAACCAAGGACTGATCACCCCAATCCACAAAAGTGGAGAAAATTTGACCCCAATAACTACCGTGGGATATGAGTCAACAGCAACCTTGGGAAAATCCTCTGCATTATCATCCTCAGTTAAAACAATGTACTGAGCAAATGTCAAATTGAAGGGCCTTCTACGCCATCGAAAGGAACATAAAATTCGACATCCCAATTAGGATCTGGCTAAAAATACTTGAATCAGTTATAGAACCCATTGACCTTTATGGTTGTGAGCTCTGGGGTCCGCTCACCAACCAAGAATTCACAAAATGGGACAAACACCCAATTGAGACTCTGCATGCAGAATTCTGCAAAAACATCCTCAGTGTACAACGTAAAACACTGAATAATGCATGCAAAGCAGAATTAGGCGGATACCCGCTAATTATCAAAATCCAGAAAAGTGCAGTTAAATTCTACAACCACCTAAAAGGTAGCGATTCCCAAATCTTCCATAACAAAACCATCACCTACAGAGAGATTAATCTAGAGAAGAGTCCCCTAAGTAAGCTGGTCCTGGGGCTCTGTTCACAAACATAAACAGACCCCACAGAGCCCCAGGACAGCAACAGCAACACAATTAGACCCAACCAAATCATGAGAAAACAAAAAGATAATTACATTTACATTTTAGTCATTTAGCAGACGCTCTTATCCAGAGCGACTTACAGTTAGTGAGTGCATACATTTTTTAAATGTTTTAATTTGTTTTCATACTGGCCCCCCGTGGGAATTACTTGACACATTTGAAAGAATTTACCAAAAAACTGAGCAAACTTGAATGCTATTTGGCCCTAAACAGAGAATACACAGTGGCAGAATATCTGACCACTGTGACTGACCCCAAATTAAGGAAAGCTTTGACTATGTATAGACTCAGTGAGCATAGCCTTGCTATTGAGAGAGGCCGCCATAGGCAGAACTGACTCTCAAGAGAAGACAGGCTATGTGCACACTGCCCACAAAATGAGGTGGAAACTGAGCTGCACTTCCTAACCTCCTGCCAAATGTATGACCACATTGGAAACATATATTTCCCTCAGATTACACAGACCCACAAAGAATTCGAAAACATATCAAATTTTTATAAACTCCCATATCTTTTGGGTGAAATACCACAGTGTGCAATCACAGCAGCAAGATGTGTGACCTGTTGTCACAAGAAAAGGGTAACCAGTGAAGAACAAACACCATTGTAAATACAACCCATATTTATGTTTATTTACTTTCCCTTTTGTACTTTAACTATTTGCACTGTTACAACACTGTATATAGACATAATATGACAATTGAAATGTCTTTATTCTTTTGGAACTTTTGTGAGTGTAATATTTACTGTTAACTTTTTATTGTTTATTTCACTTTTGTTTATTATCTATTTTACTTGCTTTGGCAATGTTAACATACGTTTCCCATGCCAATAAAGCCCTTTGAATTGAATTGAGAGAGAGAGAGAGAGAGAGAGAGAGAGGGAGAGAGAGCGAGAGAGAGAGAGAGAGAGAGAGAGAGCGAGAGAGAGAGAGAGAGAGCGAGAGAGAGAGAGAGAGAGCGAGAGATGTGTGTGAGAGACATAACAATTATTAATAAAGTTGTAGAGCGCCAGATGTTCCAATGTGTGT